ATGCAGGATAGGCATGAGAGAGATCGCACAGAATCTGTCATGCTAGGTCCTGCATTCCAGGCTTCATGGGTCATGGAAAAGCTGCATGACAAATCGCGCATTCTTCCAGACCCAGACATTTTTGCATTTGATAGTGGCGGGACTGCGACGATGGATTCCACCGTGCAGTTGACCAGTTTAACTCTGTCCCCTCCAACTTTGGCCGCGCGGCCTGCATCACCCCCGGGCGGAGCGACGGGTAGAGGTGTACCAGAGCACCCGATTGGTATACAGGACAACATGACAGAGACGGATAGACATCAACTACCGGAAGATGATAGTCGCACCATTTTTGGCTTACACACGACAAAAAACCCCAACTCGCCGCAGCCCAAACAGCCGACCCGACCGGCACTACAACTACCGCAGCAGAACGTGCCGCTACTCGAGGAACCGCTGCTGCAGCCGAGCAAGTCCCGTTCGGCGGAGATTAACAATGAGATGAACATCAATACCTTGCGATCGAACTCCAACACTTTCCAGCTGGCCTTTGATCCGATCTCGATGAGCATGCGGCGGCCGCCGGGCGTGAGCGCGCGCATCCGCGACCCGACTTGGGACCTGAGTCTGGACGAGAGCGTACCGTGAGGAAAAATCCCCCCTCCCCATATTCAAAACGTATGTTCCTAAAACTTTGCGATGCTGATTTGTGGCCACAAATCCTGTCTCTCTTGCAAGAAGGCAAATCCAAAGAATTCGCCGCCTTATGGAGGCAATTTGTAATGCTGTTTCACGTACATGGCAGGCCTCTGTCATGCTAAGTGCCTACAACAAAACACCCCCCGCAGGCTGAGGCTTTGCCTGTAGTGCCTCACTGCAAGACAGGGCTGATTTGTGTGCACAAATCCAGCAACAGAAGTTTCCGTTTCAATATGGGGAGGGGGGATGTTTCACTTTGATAGAGCGACCCGAGCGGAAGCACGTACTCCCTCCGCATCCCTGTGCAGCTGGAACCCGAAACGCTCGCGCTGCTGCAGCAGGAGCTGAAGCAGCGGGGCAATTCGGTGTTCGACCCGCGGAACAGCCTGTCCGTTGGCATAGGCGGCAGCGTAGAGGAGGACGAGGATTCGCAGGGCAACTGGAGCAAGCGGATCCCGGAGTTGGACACGCTCGTGACCGTGTCCCCCGGCGAGATGATCGAGCTGGTGGAGGTGACGCCCGGCACCAAGTTTCCGCTGTGGGAGACGCTGCTGCGGCCGCTGGGTATCGGCCTTTTGTTCATGGGCGCCACCTTTCTGGACATGCTGGCCATGCAGTTCACCACGCTCAGTTCCGCGACCCTGGTGGGCCGCGTTAATTCGGTCACCATCTACATCGCATCCATCTTCTTCCTCGGGGAACCCTCGGTACCCGCAAAGTGGCTGGGCGTCGCGCTCTGCCTCTCTGGATGCGTCCTCGTCCTACATTTAGACGCGGTGAGTGCAGCGGAAAGTGGTGGTAGTGGAGGGGAGAGTAGAGCAACATCTTCTTCATCTACTTCCGATGGAACTACAGGATCGTCCTCAACACCTGGAACATCGGCTTCGAATCCAGCGTCATCTTCAAACGCGGTCCTGCAGAAGGAGTACCCCTACGCGCTTTACGGCGATCTGGCCGCCCTGTTCGCCGTGATTTTCTACACGGCCTACGCGATCACGCTGAAGAGGTTCGTGAAAACGACCGCGGACACGATGTGGACTCTTACTCTCACCTATCCTGAGTGAAAACGTCCCCGCCCCAGAGTTGTCATGCAGATTGGCAATGACAGGAACATTTGTGATGCGCTTTCCCATGATAGGCATTTCCAATCGTGTTTTGGAATTTGTCATCCTGCAAACAGGATAACAGATGGATTTGTAATGCGGCTGTCCTCGCCAACCTGCACTCCACTACGGACTGCAACTTGTCATGCCTGACTGCCAAAGCTTCTGGATTTGTGTTGCGAGATCCCGATCTTGACTTTGGGGTGCGGACGTTTTTACACAGGATGTCACTGGGTGCTTCTTCACGTTCCTCGGGATTCCGGGGTACTACTTTTTCGCGCCGGAGTTCATCACCGGCGCCTACGCGTCCGCGTTGATCGAGGCCTTCACCATCCCCTACCTAGTCGCGAGCTTCATGTTCCTCGGCGTGATCGGGGGGGCGGGCAGCAACTACCTCTGGGTGCGCAGCTGCCAGATCGTGGGTCCGACGATGTTATGCAATGCAAAAATGTCTGGGTCTGGAAACATGTAAACTTCTGATGCGTATTTGAGACCAGAAAAAAATCTGTCATGCATGGACCGCAAAAGTTGCATGCTCATTTCTTGCCACCAAAAGAGGGAACTTGTCATTTGGATTAGGCATCGCCTAACCTGCTCAAAACCTGTGTTGCTAGGACTGGCATGCTAGACCTTCTGTGTCATGCACAAACAGCATCACAAGTTTCCAGACCCAGACATTTTTACAATCCATACATGCTGGCGGTCGGGTTAAACATCTCCATCCCCATCTCCATGCTGTGGGACCGGTTCGGCCGCGGCTTTGTGGAAGCAACCAGTCCGCTGAAGCTGTTTGCCGCTTCGTTAGTCGTGGTGGGCTTTTTACTCGTGATTTACATCGACACGTTAATCAACGAAGAGGAAGGAAAACAAGAAGATCAAGAAGACGAGCGCGCGATGGACGAAGCTGACCTTCGAGCCGATATTAACGCTGCATCAGAACAACAGCCAGGGCCGCGCTTGCCCGGCACCATTCCGAGCAGAAACAGTACGTTTGAGCAACTGCGCAGCCGGACGTCGATCGGCGTTCAGGACGACGCGGTGGCGCTGGTGTTGCCTTCCTTCCTATCGCAAGGAAAAATCCCCCCTCCCCATATTGAAGAGGTAGGTTTTCGAAAATTTGTGTTGCTGATTTGAGGTCACAAATCATGTTTGTGCTGCAAGAAGACAAGGGCAGCAGCTTCCGTCCCATTATGGAGCCGGTTTGTCATGCTGTTGAGCCAACATCACGGACGCTTTTCATGCTAAGCGCCTAAGTCAAAGCCTCTCTACTCAGGCTTGATATGGGTCTGCAGTCCTCTCCAGCAAGACAAATGCGATTTGTGTACTCAAATACTGCATCACAAATTTCGTTTTCGATATGGGGAGGGGGGATTTTTCTTTTTGATACTTCCCTGCAAACCCGCTGCTGAGTCCGCGCGCAGGTCGGGATGGTACTACGGATCATCATGTGCAAGGAGGGAAAAGAACTGAAGGAGAGATGGAAAATGGCGACAAAATGATGCATATCAAATGTAGAAATGTCTGGGTCTGGAAGCTTGCCAGGTTTGTCATGCATATTTTGAAGGACTCATGATGTCTGTGATGCATGCTCTAGCATGACAGATTTTTAGAGGCCTTTGTGATGCCTCTACCGCATGAGAAATGCCCTCTCCGGGTAGCACAAACGGGAGTTCTGTTGCTGGTCATGCAATGCAAATTTTTCTAGAATCCAGAGACAGCATCACAAGTTCCAACCTTCCAGACCCAGACATTTTTCCATGTGATAATGCAACAGGAGTCGTGCCTCGGTTTTTTCGCGGGCGCGTTGCTGCCCCTCGACTGGAATCGTCGCGATCTCGTCCGATGGCTGCTGACGCCCTACTACCTATGAACTGCAAAAGTATCGCACTAGTAGAAATTGCATTACAAATCGACTGTGCATTACAAATTGAATTCGTAATGCGGATTTACCTTAGCAAAAAGCATAAACGCAATTAGTACGAGTACGATACTTTTGCACAGGATACTACCCCCCGTTGCCTAGTTTCCTCTCCGGGTCGACCGCCTCGTTTGACGCGCTCGCGGCCGAGACACGTAAAGCAAACACGATGAAAAGCTCCAAGCCGTCGTCTGCTCCTGCACCGAAAAAGAACAAGAAGTGGCGCGCGCTGAAGAACCTGGGCGGGCAGGCGGTCCGCAACGCGGTGCCCAACTGCGCCTACTGCATTATGCTGATTCTGCCGCAAACCATCGACTACGTCCTGGTGGGCATTATGGCCACGCCGGACACCCGCACCTACGCGCTCGGGGGCATCGCCCTGGGGATTTCCCTGATCAACGTTTTCGGAATCGCGCCCGGCATCGGGTTCAATCAGGCGTTAGATACGCTCGTGTCTGTCGCGTTCGGGGCGAAGAAGCACACCAAGATCTTCCACTACGTGGCCCAGGCGCAGCTGCTGATCGTGTGCTACATGCCGGTGATCATCCTGAGCTGCGGGATCTGCGCGTCCAACATCTTTGACACCTTCGCGACGCACACCGACCCGAACGTAGCCGCGCAGGCCGTGGAGTTTCTGCACTCGCAGTTTTTATTTGTGCCGCTTTTTTTGTTCTCGGACATCGTGCGCAAGTTTTTCGCAAACGTCCGGGAGCTGCACCACATTCAGCCCTACCAGATGGCCGCGATCTGCCTCCACGGGGTCTGGGTGTATCTGTGCATCGAATTCATCTCCGGCCGCGACCACGCCGCGATGGGAGCGGGGCTCGGCACCAGCTTCACCTGGCTTTTGTTTTTCCTCGGCTATCACTTGGTGTTTCACAAGTGGTTCCGCACCTTCCGCGAGACCACCAACGCCCGCGTGCTGGGAATAAATGGTCCTGCGGTGCAACCACGGGGACAGCAACCGGCAAACTATACAGTAAACAAAAAAGCAAGTCCGCGCGGAGGTTATCATAGTGCAACTACAACTTCGATGAGCAACAACGACAAAAGCTCGTCAAAACAGGAGGAGGAGCCGGTGGAGCAGGAGCACATATTTTTTCTCTCCAATCTGTCCGACCCGGCGGTGTACAGTGGGCACGCGCTGTATGGAAGCGTCAGGTTTGAAATCGTCAAAGTTGAAATAGTTTGTAATGCATAAAATGCATGACCCGAGGCACGTGTGTTGCAGAGCAGGCAAGTGAGGCCGATTGTAAGCCTGTTTGGGGTTACAGCTCGAGCTGCTAAAGTAGCATGAGAAAATCGCTGTTCTTTGCCTAAACAGCATGACAAAATGGATTTAGGGACCACCGAAATTTGTCTTGCGCCACTTAGAAACTGGGTTCCGGTTGGCATCCATTTTATGCATGGCAAATTATTTCAACTTTGTCGATTTCAACTCTGACACATCCATACGCTGTATTCGTACGGCGAACTTGCCGTGCGGTCGAGCGCGAACGTGCTGACGGAGTGGGTGGCGCGCGAGATCCTGACCGTGTTGATATCGCAGGTGTCCGCCTCGGCCATCGCCGTGCACGCCGCCATCGACGGCACCTATTCGCAGCTGTACATGATTCCGCTCGGGATTGCGGGCTCGACCGCGACGCTGGTCGGCTCCAGCCTCGGCATGCGGAAGCCGGTGCAGGCCGGCCGTTTTGCGTACGTCTCCCTCACGCTCGGGCTCGTCGCCTGGTCCCTGATGTTCGTCCTGCTCTTCGGCGTGCCGCCCTACCGGTGGCTGCCGCCGCCCTTCGCCCGCGATGCCGACACCGTGCCCCACGAGACGCTGCTCCACACCGGACTGCAGCTGAAGATCGCGGATGTGTTCTTTCCGGCCGATATCAAAATGAAAAATCCCCCCTCCCCATATCAAAAACGAAATTTATGATGCTGTATTTGAGTACACAAATCGACTTGTAATGCTAGAAGGCCAAGAGACGCAGCTGTGGCCTCGTTTGCAGGCAATTTGTCATGCTGTTTCCCACTTCCAGCTGCCCCCTGTCATGCTGAAGATGCAAGGCTTTCCCACGCCAACCAGCACTGCAGTCCGCATCTTTTCCCTTCTAGCATGACAAAGCTGATTTGTGACCACAAATCTGCATCACAAATTTCTAGTTTGAGTATGGGGTGGGGGGATTTTTCCTTTTGATAGCCGAGCATAACGCCAAGGCGCTGTTTGAGCGGTGGCTGTTCTATCAAATGCAGAAGTGTCCGGGTCTGGAAAAGTGGAACTTGTAATGCGTGTCTTGCATTCCTGGAAAATCTGTGTTGCATGAGCAGCAACAGAGAAGCTTTCTTTGTCATGCAAAAACGCAATTTGTGATGCGTGCTAGGCATCAGCAGGCGTGGTCTCAAAAACTTGTCATGCTTGGCTGCCATTGCAAGCGCTTCAATCATGCTCAATTCAGCATCACAGGTTCATTCCAGACCCAGACATAAGTTTGCACTTGATACGTTCCGCCGCATCCTGATTTTCGCCTTCGCTGTGACCTTCTGGTGCGACATGGGGGAGAACATTTTGCAGGGGGTGTTGCGGGCGTGCGGGCAGCAGCAGATCGCCGCATTGGTGTACGTCTGCCAACACTATTTGCTGGGACTGCCGGTCGCGGTGTTTCTGGCTTTTTCCACCGTCGGCCACGGCATCACCGAGGCATTGGTGTCGCACTGCAATCTGCTTTTCCTGGATACGTCCGTTTTGACCGACGGCGACTTCTTCGCCCACGCCAACACCATGGAGAAAACCAGCGTGTTGGGGTTGTACGGCCTCTGGTTCGGGTTCTCCCTGGGCGTGGTCTCCGGCTTCGTCGTTTTTGTTTACTACCTCTGCGTCAAAATCAACTTCCGCAAAGAAGTAAAAACGGCGCTGCGGCGACTGGTGTGGCACTCGCGGGCGGCTGCCGTGCGGGGCAAAACTACGGACCGAAAATTGTCGGGCGCGACCGCAAAAGTTTAAAACGGATGAGCGACTTCATGGCACAAGTTGGACAGGTACGTAGTACGCTCTGTCTGTGTGCGTATTATATGATTGTATGCAATGGCACGGGAAGTAGATCTTTTATACGGCCGTTCTGGCGAACAAAGCACGTTGGGTGAGCTGGTCGGAGATGTTGACTGACTCTTTTGTTTCTCTTTTTTCTGCAAATGAACCTATACAATACTGAATTTTCGGGGCTTTGTGACTGTAATTTACGCTGTTGTTTTGGATATGCTGCACTAGCACTTCAAGTACTTGCTCAATGTCAATACTCTTTCTTGCGAAATGAAAGACGCACACTTTTCCTGTACACCTCGAGTCGTTTGCCTAAGCACCCAAAATTTCGGCCAGTATGAGCTCCTCACTGAGGTGGAGCTCTTTTGTGCAGATAGCGATAAATCAGTATTTTCCACCTGCTGCCCCGCTGAAAGTGTAGTTTTACACTGAAAGGACATTGGCACGACATTGCATTTTTGCGACATCAACATTTCGTATTGAACCGCGTGTCGCTTTCGGCATCATGGTCGAGGACTTTCTCCTCCATCTGTGACAAGAGCGCGGACGTGGTCGCTTGCACTTTAAATGTGAGCAGCACGAATTCATGCTCATTTGGTGTTGCTTTTTTTTCGCGGACGAAGTCAGTGGCGATATTCATCGATCCTGCACCGCGGTAAGGCGATTCTGCAAATGATCTCTTCTTCAAAACAAAAGCTTGACGTATGTCCACATGTAGCTGCCGTGGCGCTTGACCCTGATGATGCAACTATCGTGGTGACGTGGGAGGTGCCAATATTCTTCCTCGGTGACGTTCGTCGTAAATGATATGTGCCCACGTTCGAGTGTGTGCTTTTTTTCCTGATAGCGAAAAGAGGATTGTAGACGTAATTAGTCGTGGTGCCTTTACTTTCTGGCTATGGCCCTGAGAAGTACAAGCATTGACACAGAATTTTTTATCGGAAAGTAAGGAGTGCATGTATAATGTCGTCGGACGAGAACAAGAAGAAAACCGCCTTGGCCGGGAGCAACAGAATTGCTTTCGCGTTCAAGAAGGAAAACAACAAGCGAGTAGTTTCCCGGCCGGCTCCCCGGAGAAGCAGGTCGAATGCGGCACCTTCTTCAGAGTTGACGGCGGTAGTGGATGGCAAGACGCGCCGGCGGAAAGAACCTCCCAGCGAAGAGGACTCCTGTAGTGGAGGGCGCCGTAGCAGCAGTGCTAAAAATAATCCTGACACCACTCATGCCGGAAGATTATCATGTCAATCGCCCAAACCGGCGCCGTCAAAATCAAACGGATCAAATTCCTGTCGACGGTCTGATAAAGACGGCGCGGAAAATCAAATTGATCAACAACATCCCCGCGGCGAGGTGGAGCCACGATCTTCTAGTCAACTGACGAGCAGGCGGAGTTCTTTAAGTTCGAGCAGCAGCTCGTCCTCCGCGGAGTCCTCGTCTTCCGAGGAGATGAACGACGAGAAGCCTATAATCCGAGGCTACAAACGAACCACCGACTCGAAGGCGAAGATGATCAAGGCGTCCTACTTGAACAACCCGAACAAATTTATTTCGAGAAGAACCAAAAGACGGGTGGTCAGCGACGTGAGCTCGAGTGAAGATGATGTTGACAACTGCAATTCCGACAGCAGTGAGGATTGTCCCTACCAGGAGTTCGACGAAGAGTCCCTCCTCCGGCTGCAGGACCACCTCGAGGCGACCCAGGACCTCGACGGCAGGGAGGTGGACACGTCGGTATTACAATGAAAAGTGCCCCCATCCCGGAATTCGCAGAAGTTTGTCATGCAAAGTTTCCAAATGAAAGCTTTTTGTCTTGCATGAAAGGACTGCGAGCCTTTCTGATGCAGAATCTAGGTTCGCAAGGTGCCTTGTGCATAGCAGATACGGCCGCTGTTGGGCTCCTTCGCAACACAAATTCGAGCTATTCAGCATGGAAAATTTGTGATGCTGAGATATGCAAGACGGGGAATGTTTTTATTGGAAAGATTTGCAATACAAATGGTGCCAAGGTTGGGGTGGGGGGGTTTTTCATTGTAATAATCGGAGTCGGAAAACGAACTGACGCTGGAGGAGTTTAAAGATGACTTGGCGAAGTACTGTCACCTATCAAATGCAAATATGTCTGGGTCTGGAAGAATGCAACTTGTGATGCTGCATTTGGATTTCAAAAAAAATCTGTATTGCCTGAGCAGCAAAGGAAATGCAATTTTTGCCACGAGGAGAGGGCATTTGTCATTCGGAATAGGCATCATCATCAAGAAACCCTCAAGAAATCTGTGATGCCAGGGCGTGCGTCACGGACGTCGCGGCTCATGCAAAACGTACATGACAAGTCTCAGAGTCTTCCAGAACCAGACAGATTTGCACTCCATATCACCGCCACGGCCTTGCCCCGGGGACGGAGAAGATGCTGCTGCGGCTGGGGGCGAAGCAGTGCCAGAAACTGCTCAACGTTCCCGTCGGCGTGGAGCTGGACCAAAGGGATTGCACCATGAAAGAGTTGCCAAGGGACAACAAGTATCCATTGCAAATACAATGTTTAAGTCGGGCAGTAGAGTGCAAGTCTGTCATGCTTGCCCGACAGTAAACAAAAGTCTCTCATGCTTGTTGCGCTACAGTGCCACTTACTTTTCTCATGTAAGATTATAAAGGCGATCTGTCCTGCTGGCAACGCTAGACAAGGCCGCTCAGAAACTTGTCATGTGCCGCCGCGCAACACAATCTGCGTGCCATTCGGAGAATCGCATGACAACTTTCCAGACGCAGACATGGTTGCAATGCATAACAAGTACCACAAGGGCTACTACGTCCGCGGGCTGCTGGGCGACCACGTGCCGATGGAACCGCACATGGAACTCAAGCGACCCGCGCCATTTCGGCGGCCGCCGGGCGGAGAGTTCAAGGGAGAACACGCGCGGGCTTACCAGCGCAAGGTATTAATTTGTACAACGTAGGTAAACGTGTTCTGATGTTTGGCACGCATGGAAAATTGTAAAAAACCATCTGGAGGACATGGACATGAGCAGCGTTGATATGGCCGATCATTTGTCTGGAAATATATTTTGCGCGGTTTTTGATGTTTGTAAAAACAAATTTTGTTCACAGCAAGCCGAGAAGCAATCGAAGCGGGATCTCGTGGTGTGGCGCGAGCACAGTATCAAATGTAAAAATGTCTGGGTCTGGAAACTTGTGATGCTGGGTGGCGTCTCATGATGAGGCTACAAATGCTGGCTCAGCATGACAAGTTTCTGAGCTCCTAGGTGTTGCCTATTCTGCACGACAAACTGCGCTTCTGCATCACAGAAAAGCGGAGCTCTTGGGTAACGTGCGTGACAGATTTAAGAGTCATGCCAGACAAGCATGACAAACATGAATTCTTCCAGACCCAGACATTTTTACAGTTGATACACAGTGAGCAGTGCCGAATTCACCACCGCCAGAAGAGCATGCTCGATCGCTTTGCGCCGGGGATGTTTGATGATTCATCCTCAGACGACGATCCCAAAGCGAAAGGAAAGAAAAGCAAAAGCTGATGCTGATTTGTACGGATATTGAAGATCGCACCTCGGATAGATATAGATTTTTCCATCTGGTCTGGTTTAATCACATCAGCAAAACCTTGTGCTGGCAGAGGGCTTTGGAGTAAGTCTTTAGTTTCAGATTGATTTCGCGCGGATCTAAAGCTCGCGCTCCCTGTTGTAGGCCGAGAGCTGCCGCCTGGGTCGGTCGCTTCTCTGTAAGTACCAAAACTGGGATCGCATTTGGTGCGGCAAGCGCACTTGTGTGCGTTCAGAAGAAAGATCAAGAGAGAGAGAGACGAAGATCTTGTTAAAAATCGAGGTAGATCGAGTGCCCACGCTAGTGTACGCTAGCAAGATGTATTAATGATGATGATGATGGAGAACGTGAACGTCTTGTAACTTCGATCTAGAAGCACACAAAAGTGTCGATCTAAATCGTGAAACGAATTTTGATTTTCGATCTCGATCCAAAAGGAACTGCTGATCCAAAAAATGAAAGGAAGAGTCGATCCAGAACGTGAAAGTACCTGACATGATGCCGTGTCGAATTGAAATGAACCGTTCGAACAAATTTGCTCCGAGAAGATTTAGATCCACAACAATTTCTGAGATCTGAAAGGAACATGTTCATGATCACGTGTGAGATTTGAAAGATCTGTTGGTCGCACCGAGTTGAAAGTGCTCTGAATCGGAATCCTTAATTTCATCTCGTTTATTCACCATTGGTTGGAAGATATTTGTCGTTTATCAAAATCCGAATAACAGGGACCTTGTTGGATTTTTTGGGCAAAAAATCTAATCTCTCTCACCTCCACTCGACAGAATGAGCAAGCTTAGTATCGAAGGTCTGAAGGAGTCCATCGGCAAGGTGCTGGCCGCCTCCCAGGAGAAGAAGCGCAAGTTTGTCGAAACCATCGAGCTGCAGATCGGCCTCAAGGATTACGACACCCAGCGGTATAGAATTTTTTTTTCGTGATTACTTTTGAAGGATTTTTTACAATCACGGACGCGTTGATGGACGTTTCTACGCTTTCTTTTTTTCCGGGTTGGTGGAAATAGAGGTTTGGTGGTTTAGGATTGTCGATGCAGTATGTCTACCGGAATGAAAACCAAAAGCACCGAATAATTTGAGATGAATTTTTCTAAAACATAATTACAGTGACAAGCGTTTCTCCGGAACCGTCCGTCTGCAGCATGTGCCGCGTCCCCGCATGAAGATCTGCGTCCTCGGTGACGCCGTCCACTGCGATAGCGCCCAGAAGCTGGACATGCCGTTCAAGTCCGTTGACGATTTGAAGAAGCTGAACAAGAACAAGAAGATGGTCAAGAAGTATCAACCCATTTTTTTTTGCACCTGTTTTGCCTTTTCTCGCATTGCAAATATCGCTAGTTTAAGTTTGCGGATGATGAGGTGAGATTACTAGTGGGTCGAGTCGGCTTCGCTTGGTCTCTTCAATCTTCTCTTCCGTGAAAAATGCTAGCTAGAATAACATGGGATTTTTCGAAGTTTCTGTTGTCCATGTCTGAAGTTTAAAACTTCTACTTAAGGAGACTTCGCGATGAGATGATGTGACTTTGGATCCCGACAGAAAAGAGTACTACTATAGTCAGTCATGCAGTTGAAAAATATAGCGGACTGAAGAAGCGCGTCGACGACGCTTGCGTACTAATAAAGCATTTGAAAATCCTCTCAACTCTTCTACTTTTCCCAGGTTGGCCCGCTCCTTCGACGCGTTCATGGCTTCCCAGGCTCTGATCCCGCAGATCCCCCGTTTGTTGGGTCCGGGTTTGAACAAGGCCGGTAAGTTCCCGACCATGATCACGCACAACGACGTGCTGGAAGACAAGGCCAACGACATCCGGGCGACGGTGAAGTTCCAGCTGAAGAAGGTGTTGTGCATGGGTGTGGCCATCGGTCACGTCAACATGACCCCGGACGAGGTGCGGCAAAACAGTCTGATGAGCATCAACTTTTTGGTCTCCCTGTTGAAGAAGAACTGGAACAACGTCAAATCCCTGCACATCAAGTCCACCATGGGACCCGCCCAGCGCGTCTTCGGTTAAACATGTTGTACTAGCGCGTAGGCTGCGAGCTACGAAAAAGAGGAGTTGTACTGGCGGATCGTTTCGATAGTGTGTTGTCTTTTGGATCGTTGATGCTGGGTAGTGATATTTGACACGACTGGTTTGCTTTGTGTCGCAATGTTATACCTTGCTTCCATCTAATGGGACACGCTATCATCAACATTTGCAGGTGTATTTCTTTAGACTAGATGTTACCAATGCGGTGGCGGTTTGTCGTTCGCGATAAGCTTTCCGCCGTACTTGGGAGATACTCTAACGCGTATCACTCAATCTGTCTGAGAATCGGAAACGAGAAGGAATAGATTGCCCAAGAAAGTGTACACAACCAATTCAAAAAGAAAAACGCCTTCGCTTTTGGCACTCGCGCTCTACAGAGTCTAATCGTGGAAACTGGAGCTACCGATGTGTTCTGTCCCGCTTACAAATTGTCTTATTGACATGTTACCCAATGACGAATCCTGTTTGAAGCTGCAGAGAGACAAGAACAAATGACATCTACAAGAGTGATTGATGCAAATGCGGACAAAGAGTGAGAGGCCATGTGGCAAACGAAAATAAAAGCACTATAATTCGGGTTTGTCTGGAAATCAAGAATTTAGACGCCGCTTTTCAAACGAACGAAGGATCCAAGCCTTTTCGAGAAACTACAAGATGAAAGCATCAGCCTCGCACCAATCGGCAAACTCGAGCAGCGCGTCGGCGATGAGCGCAAATAAAGCTGCGAAGGCACGTGCCAAAGAAGGTCTGCTGAAGCAGCTCGTTGCGGACTCCATGGATTTGTGCCAGCCAGGTAAGACACAGCTTTTGCAACGTTGTGATGCCGTCATTTCAAAATCTTGCCTTACTTACGATCAAAGCTTCCGAAGAGTGTCATGATGAGAACCAGAGATAAAGGAATTCCTCGTTTCGCTAGGGACAATTTTGATTGACCCGATGGCGGTACACTCTCTTTGTCTGGACCTCTGAAGTACTATATGAAGCTACCTCTGTATGTGGAGTACTGTACAAATCTGAAGATCAAGATCCAGGTCGTTCCTCACCAGATCCTAGAGTTAATCAACAGCTTGAAAAGTGCAAGATCACGATGCTTTTTCAAGCAAACCGACGCGCATCACATAACAATCATCCCTCAACATTCAAGGTCGCGTGACTTCGAAAAACGCCTTTGCATTGTCTCTCCTCGAGCGGCTCTCTGAGGCGCTGCGTGCGTCGAACTACCTCAAGGGCGACTCGTTCGAGCTGCATGAGGGGGCTTACCTGCTGGAGGCGGCGACTAAGCTCTACGGGCATCGTGTGGATAGCGTGTCGTCGCTAGTCGTCCGCGTGATGCACGCTATGGTCGACATCCAGGTCGCGAGCGAGGAAGAGGAGCTGTTGCGGCGAAGTAATCGTTTACTGATTTTGAATGATAAAAGCTCCTTCCATACATCCGATGTAGTACCTGTTCCAATTGTTGTATTTGATCCTGTGGTCTCAAATGATGCACAAACATTTTAACCCTCTTGCCGACATGTGCACGCCTCTGTGCGGCCATGGGTGCGGAGAAACAAAATCACCATCTTTCGACTGATGATGCACTGGTGTATTTTTAGAGAGCACGTCTACGAGATATTCAAATTTGGTCGCTCTTTGCATATGCTTTTCTTGTAAGAGAAGTGAAGCGCATGAACAATGATGTCAACTACATTATCATGTTGGATCGACTCTGTTCACCATAACTGCAGATGGAGACCACCAGGAGGGCGGGGTGGCGCGACCCGGGGACGTGATTGATCGCACGGGGGGAACGCTGATGACTCTCGACGAGTTGGAGAAGCAGTCCAAGGGCGAGCGAGTGGAATTTCTGCGCGATTTTTTGGACAATCAGGTGTACGAAAAGCACCTCCTGTTGAACGTGAAACCGGATTGTGAGGGCAAATTGTTGCTCCAGGGGGAAGACCCAGTACTCCAAGAAACTAAATAAACGCCCCTGAACGAAATAACCTATGGCCAGCAAAGCTTAGACGTTTTATGCCGTGCGTGTCGCTCCATGCGGATGAGCATGAGTGGCGTGGCGCCGGCCAGGTGGCAGCGGTGAAAATCCTTCCAGGCGACCGTCTTGGGCGATTGGGCCTGGAATTCGAAAAAGTCCGGGCGCCGTCTGGCGCCCGAAGATTTTTTTTTTCTCCAAGCGGGCGGGCGCGTCGTCAGGCGCTGGCAAGGGCATGCCACTTACGCAACGGACCAGCGCAGGCCAGGCGCTGGCCCACGCCAAGACCCTGGGAGCGTGTGCCGGCCTCTCGGATCAGCTCACGCGCTGCGTGCTTCCGGCGTGCCTTTTTTTTTCTTTCTTGCCCACGGGGGCCTGGTGGGCAACTCGCGGGGGAGACCGTGCAGAAGCGGACCTGCTGCGCTTCACCCATGCGTTGCCTGCTTGTTTCCGCGGCGCGCGGGCGTTTGAGCCGGGTTTGGTATCCTGGCGGGCACAAGGGGGGGCCTGCCCGTCTTCGTGCCGTGCCTCGTTTTCGGCCCGGGCCCGAGACAGCTGCGTGCGGCGCAGCTGTGGCTACAGCTTTTCGAAGCCTCGCGAGCCATCTTTGCGAAGTGGCAGCCCGCGTCTTTTCGAGTGTTCCTCCAGCGCCAGAAACCGCAAAAGCCCGGCGCGGGCCCAGTTGAAAAGCTGGGCACCGCATCAGCCGCCGCACCTCCGCGCGGCCCTCGGCGTAGGGAGAGCCGTTTAGCTTGGTCGGCGTCGGGCCGACGGGGGCGCAGCGCTAGCTTAAGTAGTTAGGGTTGTGCAGTGGCCTGGCGCGATATGCCAAACAGTCACCACCTGGGAGAAGAGTCAACACACGACAGATGACCGCCTGATAGCTCTAGCACTTGGAAAGTTGGAATGCGGAAGTGCCCTGCTGCCCATAGCGAAACCAGTTTTATTTTGTTTGGGGGCGTTTATTGTGTTATATCGAGTAGCTCCGCATGATGATGCGTCGAGTAGTAAAGAGGGCAAATTGTTGCTCCAGGGGGAAGACCCGGTAGCTCCGCAACATGATGCGTCGAGTAGTAATATTCAACAAAAAAACATTAGCGTTAGCGTTTTGACAATTGCTGGCGAAAGCCAAATTTTTTCTAATTCTAGCTAGTGAGGTAGCTGCGTTCCGTTCAGATAGATTCGCGCTAACTGGAAGCAGTGGAAGCAGTCTCTTCGGCCGCGGAGCGGATCGGAGATGATACCGCCAAAGATGTGGGCGACGGCTCGGCCGCGCATATGTCTGGGGCTTCAGGGACTTCCGGCTACGCGACCTCCTGACCATGCGGGGGGCTGGCAAGCCGTCGCTCTTGGAGTGCCTGAAGACCCGTTTTTGGCTTGCGGCCTTTGAGCCCGAGCAAGATGATCAAGCTTCCCAAAGTCTGGCATTAGCGTTTCTGTCCTCGGAGGTCATTTTGACCCCCTGAGCAGAGGCGAATTTGCATGGTCGCATAAAAAAACGCTAATAAACTCATGATAGCGTCGGGGGAGCGTCTCTCTTCTCAGGTTCACAAAAAACGCTAATAAACTCATGATAGCGTCGGGGGAGCGTCTCTCTTCTCAGGTTCACAAAAAACGCTAATAAACTCATGATAGCGTCGGGGAGCCTCTCACGAAAGAAAAGACGCACTTTTGTAAGTTCACAACTTCCCCACGCTATCATGAGTTTATTAGCGTTTTTTGAGCCTTGGCATAAGTTTACATTCTCCGCGCGCTATCATGAGTTTATTAGCGTTTTTTTTTTGCGACCGTGCAAAAGTGCAGGACTTCGGCAAGAAATCTTTGGGTATTTTGCTGGTCCTCCCGAAAACGCTAATGGACGCCGGGTCGGAGCTCAAGCCTGCATTACAATCTGCCGAATTCCCCGTCAAATAAGGCAAAAGGCCGGCGACCTTGGTCGCGATTCTTTCGTGTGCCGAGAAGGGCGCGTCAGTCAGGCGTTGCGGAGCATGGAGCTCCAGGGCCTGGCTGTCCCATACGGGGCAGGCAAGGACTGCCCCGTCAAGCTGCTGTGGCGAGTGGGGCGCTTGTTTGATTGATATTGGCTAGCAATCTTTCGTCTGAACGGAAAGTAGCCGACTTGGCATGCAAAATCAAAAAAAAAATCGTTTGTTCGAACAAATCTCAAAACGCTAACGCTAATACTTTTTTGTTGGATAAGTAAAGCGTATTGTGAGGGCAAATTGTTGCTCCAGGGGGAAGACCCAGTAGCTCCTCCGCAACATGATGCGTCGAGTAGTAAAGCGGGAAATGATCAGGTGACCACTACACCCGGTAGTAGTTCTACACTGCGTTCTGGCGAAATCAGCTCCGGAGGTGGTCGGTCGGCAGCAGAGCCCAGCTCGCGCCCTCTTCTTCCCGTCGTCGTGCCTTTCTTTCAGCAGAGCATGAGCCGGGATACTACCAATGTATTCGGGCGCCATGCTGCGGGGCCGCAGCAGGGGACTAAAAATAAACGCACACTGGACATTCTCCCGGCGGCGATGCAATACCGACAGAAGGTGGCGCAACAAGTATTACTGTCCGGCGGTTCCAAGAACTACAACTACGGAGCGAATAAACTTGTTTCCCCCCTGGCGGAGTTGGCGTTGAAGTACGACGACGCTGATGATGAAGCCGTTTCACCTTCTACGGCCAACACATGCGGAGTCAACACCACGGAAGCGCGCATTCGCGCCCTCGCGGAAAAACTCTTCGGCCACAAGAGTAGCTCTGGTGCGTCGATAATGCACTCTGGTGCGGCCGCGACGTCCTCCTCCCGCGGTGCCAGGAACATCGCCGCAAACCTGGACGACGACCGGAAAGAGGGTTTTGTGGAAGCTCCCGGCTTCGTGAACCTCCGTCGCGCGATGGAGGCCCGTGTGACAGCGAAGGGTGCTGGTGTCGCGAACTTCAAGACCGTGGAGCTCCAGCAGCCACAACAGGAAGCGGATCAAGTAGAACCTCCGCCGAAGTACGTCTACTTCGGAGAGACGGCGCCGCGGTTCGGAGAGACGCCGCCCCGCCCGACGAAGACGTTTTACGGGCCGACGGGGGTATTTCGAAAGACGTTCGACGAGGCGGAAGTGCTCACGGAGCACCGCACGAAGCGGAAGATGTTCTTTTCGGACGCAGATATGGACCAGTACGAAGCGAGGTGGAAGCTTGAGGTTTCGAGTTCTGCGAGTCGCGGACAAAATCATCATCATCATCTAGGTGGAGTCAGATCCGCTGCAGCGACGCTCTTTGATGACGGAAGCAAAAAAGGTGTAGGAGCGCCGTCTTTCTTTATCGAGGACGACATGATCAACAACAATTCGCCGCTGTTTTCGGACGACTTTAGTAGAATCGGGGCGACACCGCCAGAAGCAGAAGAAGGCAGCTTTATTGCTGAAGAAGGCCGCAATGGCGCAGCACTGGCTGACAACATAAGTCTGACCTTGACGGGCGCCCTTCCGGGGGGAATGGAGGGGAGTAGTTTGTTCGCAGACAAGAACTTTGGTAGCGGTGCGGATGGTTCGGCCAGCTTGGCGGGCGACGTGGTGATGATGGACGTGGATGTGGTGTCAAGTGGTGCAGCGTCTTTGGGTCGTGCAGCAGGAGATGGCAACAACTACATCCAGGTCGGCGTAAGCGAGGAGTCCAAAATACAGCTTCCATGCAGTAGTAGTCCTACTCCAGCTAGCAGCAAGTCAAAGGGCACCGCGTCTGCTGTGTTTCAGGATTACGGTCTAGGTGCTACCCCGTTTGATGCGGATTTCGAAGGCAGTGAAGCCGCCGCTTCTTCAATGTTGTTTCCAACAACCACCGCTGCTGCGCGGGTCTTGCAAACTCCTTCCGTCTTTGACCACACGGCGGGGACGAACAATTTGCTCCACGAAAATATTTTTACCGGTGCTACGCCTAGCGAAAATTATACCGGCGCAGCTGCAGTTTTTGATCCCGAAACAGCTGCGCAGCTCTCGTGCGTCCCACACGGCAAGTACGCTTTGGACTCCACTCGCGCGCCCTTTTCTGCGGAAGCGGACGATGTTGACGCGGAGAATTATGATGTCGACATGGCACCATTTCCTGCAGGAGGAGTCGACGAAAGCGATCCGTTTGACTTGCACCCGGTTTTGGACCTCGGCAAGAACAATCGTGAAGAAGTACAAGTAGAACTACCTCTGGACCACGAGCAGAAAAATCTTCGCACAACGCACGGCTTGTCCCTCGGTGGCCCGGCGACACCCGCAACGAAAATCGAGATTTCGCCGCTGGAGACGCGGCGGCTGGAGGAGGAACTGCTGGAACAGTCGCCGTCCCCGCAGTCGAAGCGTCAGCGGCAGGAGGGTGGAGGTGCAGTAGTGGTCGAGCGCACTGAGCAGACGTTCTCACAGCAGATGGAGGAGCTCGAGGAGAAGAGTAGTAAGCACTTGACGGCCGCAAATCCAAATGTAAATCAAGCGTCGGAAGAACAGCTCGCACTGGTGGATGCAGCAGGCGCAGCGGACGAGTTGTCCAATCGCTTGTCGTCGTGTACTTTTAACGTGGTGAGCCAAGAAGTCCTCGCGTCATCAAATGGGCAAGTGACAGAAACCGCGGTCGTGACAAAAATAACCGAAGACAATAGCCACACCACGTCCGCACAGCTGGTTACCGCTCCCTCGGGCAGCAGCAGCAGCAGCAGCTCGGAGGACGAGGTGCGCAAAGTCGACCGCGGAAATAAAAAACTCGATCAACTGCAAGAACGTGACGTCGCGCCGCGTTCCGAGGATTTGTTCCAAGACGAGTTTCTCTTCGGGGACGACGTGGGTGATGATGACGTGCAGAATTTCGAGGCCGTGGCGGATGATAATGAACCCGGTCGTTCCTCGCAGCAGCTCCCGTTCTTGCAGAGCAACATTCAGGCCGATGCTGCCACCGGACAGCTGGTGGAGCTCGTGTCGACCCCCGTGGCGGATAGTACAACTTCCGCGAAGAAGGTGAAGCCGCTGAAGATGAAGATGCGAAAAATGGCCGCGAAGAGGAACAAGGCCGGTAAGAAGCAGAGTGTGAAACTGCTGGACGATGACGACGACGAAGAGTATGCGGACGGCGCCGAGGACCTTGGTCAAAACAAATCCGCGGCTGGTAATATTAAGCAGGACCAGGTGGCGGTGACCCAGGAGCTGCTAACGGGCGTGTACACATCCTTGCTGGACACGCTGCTGCCAAACGAGTCGTCCCCGGAAAATTCCCCCACCGAGGACGGTGATAAGAAAGAAAAAAAGGCCGGCGGCGGACGAGATGTTGAATCCGTGGTAGGCGACAGTGCCGATCCGTTCGCCACTTTCGACGATAACTTCCTCGAAGATATCAACGGCCCAGCGGGTGCTGGCGAAGACGATTTTCTCCAAGAGGACCATGATTTAATGGACGATTGTTCTCATCTACTTCCGGAGCAGGGTGCACCGGAGGGTGATGAAGATGATGTGCATCATCTCGATGTCGATGGTCTGCTCGGGGAGGAGGCTTTTTTGAAGAAGATGAATCAGGACGACGACATGAAGAAGTACAACAACAACAGTCGGTTGAAAGAACAAACAACTCCGGCCCCACGACCAGGAATTCACGACGATGTCGAGGACTATGTGCACTTCAATAATGCGGCCGAATTGGAGGAGGAGGAGGAGGAGGATCTGCTGGAAGATGCGGGGAATGCCTTCGAGGAAAACGCGTTTACCAATGAGCAGGTGCGCGACCTCGTCGCCAAAGCAATGGATGACTTGTTTGCGGAGAAGCGGTATCCACTGCAAATTATATCGATCTGGGTCTGGAAAAGGAAATTTGTGATGCTAGAACCATGTGCATAGAAATAAAAACACTTCCACCTTATGCAGGACAGCATGACAAGTTTGCACTACGCTAACTCTTTCGCACACCACATGAGAAGCTGCGTTGTTGCATGACGAGAGAGGCTGCGACTTTTGTTGGAGGTCATGCAAAAGTACTTACAGTTTTCACAGGGAAAATGTAAGAACGGCAATACAGTTTCCAACTTTCCAGTCTGAAATAACATATTTGCAATGCATAAGCGGGCTCTGGAGGCCAGCGAGGACGAGGCCAGCGAGGACGCGGAAGTGTTTATCAAAAGGAAACATCTCCCCCCCCATATCGAAAACGTATGTTTCCAAAAATTTGCGTTGCTGATTTGATACCACAAATCACGTCTGTCTTGCAAGAAGGCAACTCCACAAGCTCCGCAGCATTGTGCAGGCGGTTTGTCATGCTGATGGGCCTACAGCGTGGACGTTTCTCATGCTAGACGCCTAGGCCAAAACCTCTCGCCTTAGGCTTAGTATGGGCCTGCATCCCTCTCCAGCAAGACAGCCCTGATATGTGTACGCAAGTCCTGCGTCAGAAACTTCGTTTTGATATGGGGAGGGGGGTCTTTCCTTTTCATAGTGTTGCCCCGGATTTCCTTCCAGGACGTCCGCCAGGTATAGTAAAGTCGTAAGAGTAGGTATTAGTACTATGTCTGCAGAAGAGGGTGGTCTACGTTCTGCAGTGCTGGGCCTATCCTTAAGTATACATAGTAAAGAAGTGCTCAGCAAATTATACATGTTGATCGTGCTTTTGCAGCAAGCATGATTCGCAGCTGAAATGAAGCTGGCTGCTCCTTGCATTCTTTCGCCGTTATGTGATGAAGATGATACTAGATAAAAATTTGTATTTGTAGTAGACTTCTAAGCAGGAACAGGCTACGAATAAATCACCTGCTTGTGCGTCAACATCAAAAATGAAAATTCAATCACTTCGAAAATCGCAGCGCATCGCAGATGAGCTGACCACGGCGATGTGCTTTCTGGGTTGCTTGATGGTGTGCAACGTGACCAGTGCGGTGCGCGTGAGCCAGAGTGGCGATGACTTTCTGATTGAGAAGAACATCCCGGGCAACCTAGCAGCCATGATCGCGGAAAACGGATACGAAGGGGATGGCGTTGCGGCGGAGAAATTGCATTGAGTGTTACTGCTTGCTGTTTTATTTTTTATTTTCGATGCACCGGTCTCTTGGTGGCAGTGGCACGGACATGGAGTCAACATCTAGATCTACTACTTTTATTCCGGTACTTACACAAGAACTCTGGAGTTGATTTGACTTCGTTCCCGACATCCGCCGTTTCTTTGCGAGCAGCGGACAAGACCTTCCAACCCCTTCTGGCGTTTCAATGTTGAAGGTAGCGAAGACTCGTTGGAGCGCTTTCGCCTTCCGATACTGGACCTGTGCAACTGCTCCACTTTTATTTTGAATTTTTTGAAATGATGAAGTACTAGAACACCAACAAAATGCACTACACGACTCGTGAAAAAGTCCAAAGACCACGAGACTGGTATTATAACGCAGTTGTTTCTAGCATACTGGTCTAGCATAGAAAAAAGGTATTCAAGATGAAGCCGTCATCTAGTTTTGAGTTTCATAATTAATCAAAACTACGCTTAGAACCGTCTCCTGTATGATCTCTCGCTCTGCGCGGTTTTACTTGTATACATAAAACCTGTCTCACGCTTTTTTGCAGAATGGTCAGGCACATGAAATGAACGCCTTCGCATATGGAATTTTCGTTGCTCATGCAGACACAGATGCCACAAAAAGCGATGCAGTTTCAAATGAGTTTTGGCCTAATTAGAGCGGTAGTGGCGAAAAAATGGACTCGGGGCTCGTCAGAGACCTCGGCGGTCGATATCATTTTTCCCATAACCGAAGCTAAGCGTTAGAAAAATGCGCGAGGTTGTATTCGCGGCTTGTGGAGTCTGGTGTTATCTTGTTAGCGTGAAGCTGCAAAAATTAGAAAATCAGGGATCGGACGTAAAAAGAAGAGAGAAAAACTACGGCTCCATCTTCATGCGAGGAATCGCTCAGCATCAGCACTAGTTCATCGGAAAGAACGCACTTGAATGAACTACGCAAAACCAAAAAATAAAGAAAGTCGCCGTGCGGTGTGGCAACAACAGAATAGAGATCTGCGATCTTGTCTTCAAAAATGTGGCAGATTCGGTAAACACAATAATAATGATCGGTCTTGTGACGCCGGACCAAATTGAAGATGAGGCTCCAAAGAAATTTGCTCCGCGTCGATCCAGATCGGTGTGAAAGCCAAAGCGCATGGAAAATAAATCAAGTCCAAATCTCAACAGTCATTCATCGAAACGAAATCTGGACGGTCCGACCATTGCGGTCACACTCGGTACAAACGATCAGCAGTTTTTCATGGGCCGTGTGTAGGATAATGACCTTTAAGCAAAATATGATGATCATGATTTAGATTTCTGTGCAAGCATCTGGTGACTAAAACATGAACAACAGGCCCCTGATTATCCTAGCGATTTTTAGCCTCCTGGTAGTCAAGCTTTGAACCAAGAAAGTTTTGAACCAAGAAAAATCTCAATCTTCTTCGAAGAAACGTAAAAAAGGAGTAAGTACCAATCGAGTAAAGGAATAAAAGTACAAAAAGTTGTATTAAAGTCCCCATTTATAATTTTTATAGTGCCGCTTTTTTGTCCCCGCGTTGGCGGTTTTTGACGAGTCAGAGTAGACCCCAGAGAAGTATTAAGTAATGATTCCGATTCCTCTATTGATTTGTAAAAGCGACTTTGAGCAGTCAGTTTTTGTGTTGAAGTTAGCACGAGATTGACCCAGATCCGGAAAGTCAAAATGTGGCGCGTTCTCACTAAACTCCTGCCTGTGGCGTTACCTGCCGCGGCGCTTGGTCCCTGGCAGGACCCAAACTTGCCCGACCTGTGGGCCAAGATGGTGGTAGCGTCGGAAGTTTGTCCGGGCGATGTCGCAGCAGCAGCGCCGACCGCAGCAGCGCAGATGGGCGAGATACTGGGCCCCGCCAGGGTCCACGAGAACGCGTGGAGGGTAGACAACAAGCGGGAAGTGGCACAAGAAGGGGACAGGACTGCAGAGTTTTGCAACGACATGGCGGTTGAGATTGCAGAGACAGCCAGCACAGGATTTTACGAAGCATCATTGGGCCCAATATTTTTGCGAGAGCTGCAAGCAGTACGCCTTGCATGCGGGGGGCCGCGCGCCTCGCGTGCCGACGATTACAAGGTGAGATTGCAGGACAGGCTTGGGCTCGGCCCCGAAATGTACGAGGAAGCCGATACTGAAGCGGAAAGAATCAACGCCCACTACTGGTCGCGTGACGAAAGGCAACTCGGCCTTAGCTGCGGCCGAGAAGAGCCGAGCGTGTTCCGAAGAGTCGCGGCGCTGGTCAAGTCACGTCGGTCCTCCCCCACCCGTGCCGCTCGGCCGGAACAGTCTCTTGGTACCGGTCAACAGTCTCCCAGTGTCCCTACACAGAGCTTGCCGAAACAAGTAGAACCGCATGCACGGGTGTCTCGTGTCGCTCCGCGGAGAGTGACTGGCGTTCCACACGTTGTTGGCGGAGCACCTACAACTTCGTTGGGCCATGGTGCGAGATCGAGGTGGAGGTCCCGAACGCCGCGTCGCGTTGCCGGTCACCGACAGGCCTCCGGTGCCCCTTCACCGCCATCTGCGCGTTCTACTATTGTTCCTACTGCACCACGGGCAAGTAGTGCTGGGCCTGGGCGACCCCCTCTGTCCGATGGTTCCGTGGTTGTCCAAGATGTCCCCGCAGACGGAAACTGCGCTCTTCATGCGATCTCGTTGCAGCTCCCGGATGTGCCAAGCGCAAGCACACTGCGCGGAGACTTGGCCACGGTGATCCGCAATATGAACGACACCTCTGCGAGTCAATTTTTCGGAGACAAGATGGGCATTCACACCGCCGCCGAATTCCGAGACACGCGCATCACAGATATACTAGATCAGCGGAACGAGACTTCCTTGTACCAACGGGAAGCCATATGCAGACATATCGATACGTACCATCTCGATTATCAAACACAACGCGCGTGCAAACCTGAAGAAGACCTTCCGCAGTGGTTCGAGCAAAATGATTTCTTCAACTTCATCGCCAACTACATCGAATTGGAGATAAGTGACAGATCTTTCGCGTTTCTGGACGTGTGGGAAGTTGAGATAGTAGCTAATTTGTTACACCGCAGAATCCATGTGTACGAGCTGAAAGAGCCGGGTGTGCGTCTGTACAGTGGAAGGGAGCTAGAGCGCGGGCAGCTCGATTGTGTCGCGGAACTTAACGAGCACGGCGATGCTGAGGCAGCTAGGGCAAAGCCGATCGATTTGCTCTTTGTCGGAGGCCATTACATGGCGCTGCGCAATCCCAATGATTACCCTGCAGTGACTAGTAATCCCTTGGTGCAGGGACAACAACCTCCAAGTCCCGCAGTGCAGCCGAGTAGACCACGTGATAGTGCAACTACATCACAGTCAACAATAAGGGCACAGGAAATAGCCGAAAAAGTTGCCCTCGACCGCCGTTTTAAAAAACAGTTCTTAGATATGATCTCCGGAAAGCTTTGGATCCGGCACGACCCCCCCAGAGGTGCAGAACAACTATGGGGGGTAGGACGATACTACCCGCAAGGGGACGCCACCAGAATTTTCGAAGTAACAGAGAGGGGCGTTTACGTTTCGGGCGGACAGCGCAAACGGACACTGAAAGTGTTGGGGGAGTGGTTCACCTTCGACAACAATGGACGCTGGCACCGCATGAAACGTTGATCGCTCTTGTTAATACAAGAGTCGTATAGAAGTATACGTCGTTCCGCTCAAAACGGAGAAGACAAAGTGGACAAGGCGAACGAACTGGATTGAATGAAATGGATAAAAAACTTTTATATGATACAGGAGGAAGGAGGCGCGTGAGAAGGCGAGACCAGAACAACACAGGCATGTTGATCAGTAGAGATCATGTAGTCACTCATCTCCGCTGGCTTGTGGTTGTGCCTGCTACTTCGATAGTGGTAGTAAGTACTTCCACAGCACCAGCTGCAGCAGGGGAGAAGACCTAAGAGAGCGTCACGAGTTCGTACAGGATTTTTACAGATAAAAACCATAACGCATAAAGTAGGAACAAATTACTTACTTAAGTAGTTCTTCCACAGTTTCTTTCTAGCTCTTTATATTTCAATGCGAAATCATGATTCTACTGTTGGAGTACAAATAGAGTAGTAAGTAAAACAGCCATGATCCTCTTGAACCTACAGGTTGAGTACAAGTAGAGTATCAAGTAAATATGCGATAGAGCAAAAACTGCATGGCACATGCAAAGCTGCTGATATTGCACAAGAGTCGGACCCCTGTCGGTGCGGGGGCACCGGCGTGAGACTAGAAAAGAGTAGACTTCTACCTGAGGGACCGCTCCGGTCGTTGAGGTAGTAGAAGTAAAACTAAAACTAAAACAGTCATCAGACGGTAGAGACGACAAAAAAACAAAAAGATGAAGAAGAATACAGAGTAAAGAGCCCGAATGTTGTTGTTGACTGAAAGCGTGCAGTAGAGAGCTAGCTGACAGCAACACCAACAGGGAAGTATTTATTTAGGCATTACATTGTTGAAATAGAAATTCAGTATCACTTGGAACTTACCCCCCTACCCCATACAAGAAGCCTGAATTGGTTCTATTTTTGGAACAACAGGCATATAATTACAGGTGGAGAAGAACAATACCTCTATAGAAATTGTTACGCACAACTCTACGAGCAGCGCCTCCACCGGTATTAAACTCAAGCAAAAGGATGACATTGCCTCTGTCGTGGACCTTTTTGCGCAAAGAATTTCGGCGCTAGGTCCTCGCGTTTTTCTGAATCAGTACCTTGGTCCCACCAACTACGCTGTCGCTACGAAGCTGGACTCCACCCCGGCGTTGCAGTGAGCGTGGTTTACCTAGTTCTGATTCATCTCACAGCGGTTTTTTGTACCCGCCCAAAGACCAGCACCAGCACACGTGTATGATTTAGAAAGGAGGAACCCGAGTATAGTACAAATGTCTACTGTTGCAGTTGCAGCAGTCTGTATGGCTGCTTGATTCATTTGGAAAAGCTGTTCGCGCTCCTCCCGTTCGTACAACATTACACGGATCTTCATCTTCGGCGCTGTTGTGGTTCTGAAGCGGGTTCGGCGTTTCGTTTTCCTACCGGTGTTGTTTTTCGTCGTTTTCGACCACTAAGTATTTGTATTTGTTGTGGATCTGCGTTTTCAACACGTCGTTCAAGTTCGAGAACTGACTCGAGAAATGTCATCACCATTCCAATAGAGTCGTCTCTCAAAAATGCGTACGTCGTTGTACTGAGATCCCAAAACTCTTTATACAACAATCTTTGCTCCTCTTGTCTTTCTGATACTAAGTCCTTATCAGTCTCCGAAAATCTTCACATCATGGTGAACGACGACTCGTTGTGCCCAAACACAAACTGCCCGTCGGTAGTACTAGAAGTGCGAGAAAATAAGCATGAAGTTTTCCGTTCGCTCCCACGCGTACGGGGTGCTGCAGCGAGCGCTGGGAAACGAGAAGCGAGTCTCGCTTTTCGTTCGCGAGGTGTTGGCATCCAAGCACGTTCACATTCGCGAAGATTTGCCTTCGTGCATTCTGAGCGACCTGTGTCGTGCGGGGTACCAGGATCACTGCCACTTCTTGATCCTCGCCTGGGAGATATCCTGAGTAAAAACTGCGAACGTCCCCACCCCAGGGTTTGCAAGATGAGAAATCTGTAGGACGCAAGACGAGAACTCGAGAAATGGTTGCTGTTTTGCATGACAAGTTCGACCTCGTAGTCGAGTCGTTTGTAGCTTGTGCAGAAACATCACAAATTACCGTCTTATCCTCATGCTGTTTCTAGAGCATGACAAACTTCAGATAAAGTCAGAAAATGCAGCTCGTGCTGGAGATCATGCCTGCGTACTAGGAGAAACATTTTAGGCAGTTGCGGACCCGCACGACAACTCTGGTGCGGTGGGAACGTTTTCACACGGGACAGGAGAGGCGAAAGGCGCTCTTTGTTTGGTCTCGACCAGCACAACGTCGACTCGAGCCTCGTTTTCCTTTCGCGCAGCTTCTTACAGCCCACTACCAGGAGCTGCGCGACCACACGTGGGCGCCCCCAGGTTGCAAGCACGGGAACTGTGCGGGACTCTTGGCCAACGTGGTTGCGAGTATCGTTGTCGCCGACCACCACGGTGCGTCGACCACTGGAGTCGCAGGTGACAGCAGCGCACGTAGGGAGGTCGTGGGCACTTGCTTCATTGCGGATGGAAATAAAGATGCGACTTCATTTTATTCCCAGCCGGTTCATGTTGCTGTTTTCGCGCGGCCTTCTACTAATAAATCGGCGCCCCCATTGCAGCTCGCGGGAAAGCGTCTCGTGATGCAGTGCGCGCGTTTTTTGGTCGTGTGCCTGGGGAGTAGAAGTGGTACGCTGGATGAACATGCAGATGGGCCGCATGAAGCAGTGAATGCTTACGCGCTTGTCGCGAATGCGCTCCGCAAATTGCATGTCTCGGACTTCTTCAAGAACATCGAAGGAGTGGAGTTCCTGTCCCAAATCCGACACCTTTTGGAGAGACACGCGGGCGAGCTGCGAAGCCGCACAGATTTTTGTTTTCCCCCGGCCCCTCGCTGCTGGTACTATGACGACGGCGTAGGACCACGATCCACTGGTGGAGGTTACGGTAGCAGAGTGCAAGCACAAGAAGAACATCATGTACTACCTCGACCGCCTGTCTCCTCCGCTGTGCTAGCCATGCTTGCGCACGCGTTTCCGGACGCGGAGCTCTGGGGCAACGGACCACTGCAGGATCTGATTCTGCATTCGCTGCTGGCCTGCAGCAGCTCCGAGGAAGCCGCGTGGTCGCCGGAAGAGCTGTGCGCGATATGCGACGCCGCCTCGCGAAGACCTCGAGAGCGAGCTATTGTGTTTGAGATCGTGCTGGGAGTGCTGCGGGAGCGGCTTTTGCGAGGTTCAACTGGGGTATCCTGAGTAAAAACGTACCCACCCCAGAGTTGTAATGCAGATCTGCAAGCACAAGAGCGCTTGTAATGCGCATCCCCATGAGAAGAATTTCCTATCGTGTTTTGGAACTTGCAATGCTATAAACAGGATAAGGAGATGGATTTGTGATGCGGCTTCTTTTGCTAAACTGCACTACACTACAGCCTGCAATTTGTCATGCGCGGTTCCCAAAACTTCAAGGTTTGTGTTGCAAAATCCCAAAAACTTAGACTTTTTTTTCTTGTGAGTGGGGAGAAGTCCTTGCATGAAGTCCTAGTTAAGACGCATTTGCATAAGCTGCTCCAGGTCAGGGCAGAAATCATGGACAAAAGTGCAGAGGGAGCATAGGCGTTCTACTTGTATGAAGCGTGATAGGCCGTGCCTGAAGGTTTCGATTCAAAAAAGATTCTGAATGCGCGCGGTACTAAACATTCAGGCGGGTAGCAACGTCCTCTTTATTATGATATGCATATATGAAAAGACTCCAGCTGCATTTTTGAAAGTGCAGCTAGGTATGAGCACTGGCTTGGAATGGCAGATATGTATGGGCAGACATTGTTCGGGCTTTGAAATGAGAAGCGTCTTAGCAACAAAAGGACGAGACTTCTATTGGCTATTGGGATCCAAAGAAAAGGAAGAAGGGGAGGCGAGTAGCAAGACTCGAGGGCTGGACGGGACAGGTATTGACGTGGAAGCGCTCTGCGCCTGACCACGTCACACATAGCAACAGAGATCAAACGGGCGCCGCGATTCCAAAGCGTGCCGATGTTGCTATCTGGGACAGACATGCAGTCGCATCGCACAACCGGGAGAAAGTAGATTTTTTTGCATGTGGGTAGCCGTGTATAGAGGCCGAAATCCCCTCCCGCATTCAAAAAAAAAAAATCCCCATCTGGACTCTGGGGTGAGGACGTTTTTACTCAGAATATGGGGCACACGTTCAACATCTTCCAAGAACTGCGCGATCGGCACAAGATGGTCCGAGTTCATCTACTTCCGTGGTATTTACAACTACGTGCAAATAGAATTGAGTTCTCTTTGTTTTTCGACTTGCTTGTTTCTGGAGATCCTTCTTCGATTGCTAGTGCAAAAACGGCAAGACGCCATTCCGCACATCCATGCATCGAAATCACATCTGTTCTTTGTCCGAACACATTCTCGCAATGATCGCAGCACGAAAATTATGCACTAGAAGAGTAAATACTTTTCCGATAGTTGGAATGTGATGATAAACGTTTAACCCTCTTGCTTAGGCCGATTTGGGCTGTTGCAGAGAAACCTAACAATCACCATCTTTCGTCTGACACGACTCCTTGTCATAACTAGACATCTGCTACAGAACGAGGAAAGATCATCAAATACAATACAATGTTGGTCAAGATTCATTCCGACGGAAATGATCGTCGGTAGTGGACCGGCACGCGGCACGAATTATTTTTTGCGAAACTGCAAAGAGATCTAGTTCTAGATCAAGAGTGCGCCTGCAGGTTTTTGCGGTTTATATAAGATTTCAACAACTGATGAGAACACGAAGTACACAGGAATTCCTCGTTTCGCTTAGGGAGGAGCCCTGCTCCTGTTCCCGATGGCGATGAAACACTCAAATTGTCTGGACCTCTGATGCGATGAAAAACCGAGTTTTGTTGTAGAACCTCTTTCTTTGTGCATTGTACAGCTTACGATCATATTTGGAAGCTGCTGCACAAGTGTTAGTCTTTATCAGTTGCACGGGCTTAGAAGATCGTCCGCGCAACATGGCACTAGTACATCACTTCCGAGATGATGAGAACACGAAGTACACAGGAATTCCTCGTTTCGCTTAGAACTTCGGTTCAATGGCGGTGAACACTCAATAATGTCTGGACCTCTGACACGTCGGAAATAGTGGCTCATCTAGTGCATCGTGTAGTTGTATAGCGTGTATGTACGACTACAATATCCTTTTCACAAATGCGACGAAAACTTTCTCGTCCCGTATAGTCTTCTAAAAATGGTTCAGGTACTGCAACGACATTCGCAGATTCCGGCGGAGGAGGATGAAAATTTGTTCACAAGATCTTCAAGAATGCACAACGAGGCGGAGGCATGTGGAGGACAACGGGGAGTTTGGACGGCCCGCTCGGTTGCAAGCCTCCTTCGAGCGTTCTGCAAAGCAGGTTCTTCAACAGGTTTACCGAGGCGCACAAACAACTACACTGAACAGGACGAGACTTCTTCTAGAAGCACGACAACCCGCGGAAACAACATCGCCCAAAGGCTTTATGGAGAGAGGCTTGCAAACATCCTCGCGGCTTCGAAACTGCTCGACCGCGTTTCATGGGAAGACAGTTCATCTGAACTCAGCGTCGCGATTCATGCAATCGGGAAACTCCCGAGAGGACGAGGTGATTTTGGTGGGAAGCAAGCAGACGAAGCCCCTGGAGGCGCCCTTGACCGCCTACTGGTCAGCCTGTTGCGGAAGTTTTGCCAGCCATCGCCTCGCGTCGCCTGGGCGGTGCGCGACTGGGCGAATGTAATGGATGCAGTGTCCTTTCGTCTCTCACGACTGATTTTTTTGCCAAACAAGCACGTGGAACGAGGACCACAACTACATGTTGATCCTGTAATATCGAAGAGCGGGGACATGAGAGATGAAGCTCCAGAACATCAAGGCCTTCGCCATATTTCTAAGCCCTTCCGAACTTCTGTGCTCCGCTTCATGCAGCTCACACACGAAGCTATAGTCTGTTGCAGTTCGTCATGCCGCGGCAGAAGACCGAGAGAGCTGGAAGAGGGAAATACTGTGGACCGTAATTCTCCACCTCCTCGCGCTGCGGTAGAACTACCTGGGACCACAGCTGCTTTGGCGGCGCTACACGGTCCTTGGCAAATTCAGGACTGCATGGCGGGTCTCGTTGGTGTGGGCCGTCTGGAGAATGCGCTGGCGGGGGAAGAGGAGGAAGACAGCAAAGTGAAAATACGCCGAAAGATAAGAGGACCAGCAGACTACCGCGGCAACGACTTTTCATTTCGCGCGTCGACGAAGCGGCTGGAAGTGTTCGAATGTCTGCTTCAGCGGCTGCGGTTCCATGTGCACGAGTTGAAGTTTTCACAGCTGTCGGACGTGTTTGTGGCGGCCGGAAAGCTCCGCGCGCGTTCTGTGCCTGTCGTCGAGTGTTTGTATAAGCAGTTCTTGCCACGCGTGGAGGAACAGGTGTTGGCGGCCGTTTCAAGCGGCGCGCCGAGGTCTTCGTGTGACGTGGAAACGTGGAAGTGCGCCGTGGTGAACCTGCTCTCTGCGCTGTCCAAGTTGCGCCACGACGAGTCAAAACTCGCAGTACCTCAGCACCGTGGGAACAAAAAGGGTGTAATTTCGAGCTGGTCTGCGTCGCAGGGCGTGGCGCGGTTGCTTGTTACGGCCTGCTTGAAGACAACGTCACGGAACCACGGGAAGGGTCGTCCAGGAGCAGGGTTGCTAAAGCTATCCCGGGCGGATCGCGAGCAGATTCGTAAGTCCTGTATGAGATTGGGACTGCTCACCGCTAAGACGGCGCCTTGCGTTTCATTGGAAGACCTTACTTGCTAAACGCGTCGTTGTACAGCATCAAGAAAGTAGAATTATTGAAAAATCAGGTGAGCAACATCCCGGACGGTAAACTTCAAAACTATGTGTAGCTATGTGTAGTGACTCAACTGAGATGTTGCGAGACGCATTTTCAAATCGTGTTCCGCTGAGTCGCAGAAATGGTTGGCATGTATGTTGGTGTGCAGCTGCGGACAAACGAACAAAAGTTGAAAACAGAGTCAACTCTGCGCCAAGTAGGGCCAGGGCTAGCCGCAGTTGTGTAAGTACCCGAGTAGAGCGAGGGATGAATGTCCATTGCCTGCTGTGACAAGCTGAACGAATGACATGAGAGAGTCTGTAGCTGTAGTTTCAGTGTCCCGTCGGAAGAAACTTAGCACCCTGCAAGCGACAGTTGTGAATGTATTCTCGCACCACGCTCCGCTCGTAGTGTGAGAGATATGGAATTTTTCCTACTAGTATGATTCACGGACAACTTCAACTTAGAAACGCACTAGGGTCAGATACAACGATCACGATGCCCACGTCCTCGTACATGAAGCAGCTTGCTGCTTTCGCGTTCCGTCTTCCTTATTTTGCAACCTGTTGCTTTGCTCCGGTGTAGTAGGACGTCTCTCTTCGAGGACCAGCTCCAACATGGACTACAATACGACATCTGACGGGCAGCTGCGGGAGCACCTGATACGGCGCGAAGACCTTTCCGACGCGGGGTACGAGCAGGAAGGTGGAACAAGTACTAGGCGAGTAGAACAGTCTTCGCGGAACAACACGCGCCCGAAAAAAAACCGCCGGGAGAAGAACAACCGGGATCCGTACGTGAACACCTACCCTCGCGACGAGTACGACGACGGGACTGCGGGCCGGAGCGAGTACGATCGCCAGCATTACCAGGACAACATCCCCGCTGGCCGTGAGCGGGGAGTTGACGTGGAGTACGACAGTTACCAATACGAGGATGGCTATGGTGCCTCCGGTGCGCGGGACCGCGACGACCGCCTCACGGAGAACAACCGAGCGCGGAGAGGCGGACACAAGCGGCGGCGGGACCGAAATAGGGAGCGCGGCGGTGCGGGGGGCGTAGACCACAACAACCGGTCATACCACCGCAACGGCGACCGGTATAATTCGGACGGGTATATTCACGATCACTCCGGCCGGGACCGATACAATACTTCAGACGCGGACCACCACGACAGCGGTACCGATTATTCGAACAGCGGGAGTGACTACGGCGATGAGGAGGACGACGAGGAGAGTCAGACCCCGCAGCGCAGCAACCGCCGGCGGAACCGCGGTCGGAGAAAAAAGATCATGGAGAGCCCCGATCACGCGGACGAGGACCACAAAATCCGCCACGAGTACAGTGTCATCCAGGACCACCGGGGCGGCGGCCACGATGAAGAGTGGGAGGCCGAGGAAAAGGACCGTGGCAGCGGGCTGGATAGCGGGGGTGGTCTTCACGACCACTGCGAGGACGACGGCGAGCAGGACCCCCGCGGGCGGCGCGACGACTCCTCCTACAGTCGGGGCGAGTACCACGACGGGTCCCTTGGGGGCCATCAGGGCCCCTACGACCAGGGCGCCGCTGCGGACCTGGCGTTGCGCCGAGATCGGAGCCTGTCGAGTAACACCAGCCTCGGCGAAAGGATGAACAACTTCGGGACCACGACGTCGATTAACCCGCCCGGCGCACCCGGCGGCGGAGGAGGATACCAGCCTCCGGTGCTCACTGGTATGCACGAGTCTGGATTTTTATGGAATAATGCAAAAAAAAACAGCAAACAGCCGTGTATTCTTTTGGATCAACATCATCCTTTAAAAATAGAGGACTTCTGCGGGGCACAACCTGGTGCACCGTCTAAGTCTCGCCTACAAGACGTTTGGAGTGTGTAGCCGCGGCTTGCACAAGAAGCTGTGTTTCGATTCTTTCTGCTTTTCCTGCATGTAAAGATCGGTGTTGATCGTGAAAATACGGATTTGCAGCTGCATTGGAATTTCCAATTCCATATCGCCAACTTGTTGGGCTTGGTGGACGGCGAAGTCCCAACAGTTCCAGCAGCCCGAAGAGCCCGAAGACGACGCCCCCCTTCCCGTCGCTCGGCTCGCCGCACGGGGGGGTTGCCGGGGGTCCCGGAGTGCTGCAGCTGTTTCAGACCGCTTCCTCCTCCAGCACGACGGCAGGGAACCCGAATCTCCCGCGCGCCGACAGCTCCCAGTTGCCCCGCGCCGGCAGTACTTTGTCGAAGGCCACGCCGAGCGATCACAGTTTGAACCTCCAGCAAGGCGGCGGATCCACTTCCACCGCGGCGTTGCATCAGAATCGAGGAGCAGGTCCACCTAATTTGGAAGAACGAGGGGTTCAGCTGCTCGGAAGTGAAACTAGTGGTAAAATGCTGGATGTTGACGATCAGCTACAACGGCAGTCGTTAAATAACCCGCAACATCAAATGATGGGAGACCACGCACACGACTACCAGCAGCGCGACGCCTCAAGCAGCCACGAGCGGTCCGGAATAATGACGGCGTCAAGTGGCAAGAGCAGCCACGAGCGTGTCGCCGGCGGCGCGAACGCGTACAACAACGCCGGCACAACTAGCGGGACCACCGCGCAGCTCCCTGGCAGCACGTCGTCCTTCCCGCTGCGGGCGGGCAGCCTGCCCGTGGGCGCCACGGCCACCCTGTTCGGGCTGGAGCGCGGAACCACCACCAGCGGGACCCCCGTGCAGTTGCACAGCCTGCACCCGCGCACGCCGGCGCAAACAGCGGTTTTCATCAACGACGGCACGGGGCTGCTCGCCGCGCCGCGCGTGCAGCAGCCGCGCCGCGGCACGGACTTCACGCTGGGAAACAAGAAGCTGACGACACGGTTGATGAAAGAGAGCATGCTGATATGCATTGCAAAAGTATCGTACTAGTACGAATCGCATATACAAATTTGCTCAACATGACAAATGAAATTTGTCGTGCTAAATTACCTAAGAAACCAGACTTGTCATGCTAGTCTGGCACTTAGACTTATACCAGTAGCAGTGCGATACTTTAGACTGGATAGCTGAACGACCGCAGCAACATCGCCGCCAGCATGGCCATGCGCAAGAAGAAGCAGCTGCGGCTATCGAAAAGAAAAATCCCCCCTCCCCATATCAAAGCGGAAATCTGTGATGCTGGATTTGCGTACACAAATCAGATTTGTCTTGCTGACGGGGACGGCAGGCCTACATCAAGCCTGAGTAGAGAGGTTTTGGCCTAGGCGCTTAGCATGAGAAACGTCTGCGCTTAGGCCAAACCGCATCACAAATCGCCTCCATAGTGCGGCGGAGCCTGTGGAATTGCCTTCTTGCAAGACAGAGATGATTTGTGGTCGCAAATCAGCATTGCAAATTTTCTGCGACGTACCTTTTCGATATGGGGAGGGGGGATTTTTCCTTACGATAGCGGCAGCGCCGCCGGGAGCAGAGCCAGGGGCTGGTGCACGCTTTTTGTATCTGCGAGTCCATCGACCTGGACTCCCTGAATACGGAGTGGAACGCGTTAGATGTGGAGAACGGGCAGGACGTACTGAACCCAATGGACGACAAATACATCGAGCTTGATTCCGCCAGAAATTTCGTTTCTCCCGACGCTCTTGTCTCGGTCGATTCGCAGGTACTAACGATATTAGCTCTGGAGGGCGGGGAGGGGTGGTGTTCATCTTTTTTCGAGTTACCGTTCTTGCAAAGCCGAGCAAGTAGTGCTAGTGTTTGATGTTTCAAGAAAGCGTCATGGAAATGAAAATATGAAACAAAGTGTTTCTTTCTGGAGAAGAAGGAAACCTTTCGACGTCTCCGTGTGTGCGAGCTGGAGGGGTGATGTTTTAATATACCGGAGAAAATCTAACTAAAAAAATAGGTGACCGCAATGAAGGTGCTCGGGGGGCATGACTGCTTGGTGTTTCGCTTTGGCACGGTTGTCACATGGGGCATCACCGAGGACCAGACCCGAGAAATCTGCCACTTCCTGCGGCCCTTTTCCTTTTCCGCCCTGCCGGAGTGGGAGCAGGATGACATGTTCTTCATCGAGGAGCGCGGCGCGCCCGGGAGTGGTAACTGAAAGTAGTGTCTTCATGGCTCTGTGTTCGAATATTCTGTTTTGTTCTTTGAGAGTGAGACTAGACTTGTTCGGATAAAAAGTTGGAATGTATCAATCCGCGAATGGAGCAGGAGCTGCAGTTTGTGGTCCACATAAATAATTCATGCCCTTTACTGAACACAGGTTACGTTGCAAAAGACCGCATCACGCTGGCGACCAAGAACGTCTTCGAGCGGCTTGCATACAGCTACGCGTTTGGGCAGTCCGTCAAGCTGTCGGTCTTCGAGGAGTCCGTGGAGGGTTCTATCGAACGCAACAAAACCATACCGGAAGAAATGATGCGAACGGGGCAGCTTCCATATCAAATGCAAATAGAAATATGTCTGAGTCTGGAAGGTTGCAACTTGTGATGCTGTCTCTGGATTCGAAAAAAGTCTGTATCGCATGACTAGCAAGAGGAGTCCAGTTTGTGCTACGAGGAGAGGGCGCTTCTCATGCAGACTAGGCATAAAGAAGCCGAAGCCCTCTACAAATCTGTCGTGCTAAGCCATGCACTACAGGCATCAGGGGTCATTCAAAATATGCATGGCAACCAGACGTATTTGCAATGCATATTCCAAAACGCATGACCAACCAGCGGGTCGCCCAGTACATGGGCGACTTGTTTGTGCAAAGGTACTTACTAACTCTGCTTCCATTCTACGATGACGTACTACTGCACTCAATGATCTTTGCGTATTGTATGACTGTCAGATTATGATATCAGGACATAGCCATAACACCACTTCGTTTATTTTGAGTCCACAAGAGCAAAACAGGTGTCGCGTAAACTTGCATTTCGACATTTTGGACACGCCTGACGTATTTTGGGAATTCGACGAATTTGAGGACTGCTATAACAATATGAATTGCAAAAGTATCGTACTAGTATAAATCGCATGACAAATTTCCTCAGCATGAGAAAGAAAATTTGTAATGCGGATTTAACCTGAGAAAGAAGTTTGTAATGCATGAATGCAATTAGAAGTACGAGTTCGATACTTTTGCACAGGATAAACAAGTGCCGAAAATACCTCGATCTGTCGAAGCGGGTGAGTATGCACTGCAAATATGTCTGGGTCTGGAAGGATCCGAACTTGTGATGCAAATTGCGGATCGTACAAAGATTTGTGTTGCATGACTGGCAAGAACAGGTGCTCACTTGCGAAGAACATGCTGAGATGGTATTTCTCATGCAGAGTAGGCAACAGCACGAAGGGGCTGCAGAACCTGTTAATATGCTAGGACTCGCATTCCAGATTTGAGGGAGCTAGGAAAAACTGCGCGACAAATCTCGCACTCTCCCAGACCCAGACAGATTTGCAGTTCATAGTGCGCATCGTCAACCAGCGCTTGGAAATCATCAAGGAACTCTACGAGATGCTGCACAATGAGGTATTGGAGAAGTGATCTTTGATCCACCTTTTGTTGGGGTTTAAAATTCTTGTGCTTTTGTTTATTCACTAAGTCGTGTAAAAACTACTCTACTGCATCGGGGGTTTCAGTCTGATGTAGTTTTTTGATGTGAGTGATGTCTCTCGTTCGGATCCGAAGATCACGATCGAGACGGGTCACAGTTTGGAGTGGATCGTGATTTTGCTGGTTTTCGCCAACGTGCTGGTGGACATTCTCTCCGTGCTGGGTACGATGTATCGCAACCCGTATTACCGACCGCTCATCGTCGACCTCGCGAGCTGGTTCGGCCTCGATCTGCCCCTGGAGCAGGAGCCGGACGACGGGTTTCACCACGCCGAGGATGTTGCAGACCCAGCGGCACACCTCCACGGTGTTTTTTTTCTCGAGGACCTCCACCAGCCAGCAGGATGATGATCTCGCTCATCACGACCCATGTGACACCAGCAGGGGAACAAACTTGTTGTGGCCGGAATTTATTTCTTCCCAACGAATCCGGAGGAGGCCTTGGTACTACGCAACGGAAGTGGCGGGGAAACGGCAGAGCCGTGGTCAACATCGAGAGCTTTATCCTGAAGATGGTACGAGACCAATGCGAAGACCGAGCGCCGGTAGTACGGCCGGAGCGCTGTATGGTGCAAGAAATCGGCATCCTCTAATATTTTCGGAGCGGAGCGACCACAAGCAGGATACTGGCCTGGCATCCTCTCTGTAGTTTCGCTGGCTGGCGACGCATTTTTGGCTCGTGCTTCCGGGGAGGTGACGAGGAAACCAGCCAGCCGGTGGGGCTGCATCCGCGCCGGATAAACAATTTTGACACGACGCCGGATGAGTAACCCCTGGCTCAGCGGATCTACCGGTTCTTTCGGACGCGACCGCCGAAACTACGTCAAAATTCCGAACGAAGGCCGCATGCACTGGGGATTTGCAATGGTGAATCAGCTGGCGCCCCTGGACCTCCACACAGGTGCATCGAGAACAGGACTGGAAAATTGTGCGCGGGAAAAGAAATGATAAGGAAACATCAAAGGAACAGCCGAATGCAAATCTTTACCTGCGTGCACCCCAAAATCGAGAGATAGTTAGAATTTAAAAACTTTTTGCGCTAATAAAACAGCACCATGTTGTACTAGTAAGTACTTTCACTTCATGAATCTTCACACATCAACTACAACGCAGGTGACGATCAAGAATGAGCACAACTTGGAATGGATCATCATTGTGCTTATCATCCTCGAAGTGGTGTTCGAAGTTCTTGGGCTGTACCTGCAGTCGGAATGATGATGATCCTAATCGCGTGCTAGCTGGTCGTGCCCCCGCCCCGTAGAGCCAATCGATTGCGCAGCTGCATCTGATCAACTCGATCATTCGGGATGGGTGGTCCCACTTAGGAGGAGCTGGCGGCTTTTCCGGCCCGGATTGTCAATGCAACGGCGGCAATTCTTGCGATGGTTGGAACAAGAATACTTCATTTTACATCGCAGCATTAAGATTGTTTGTTCATCACAACTGACGCAGTTGTTCTTGCAGGAGCTGCTTCTGTGCAAAAGTTTTGACTTTCTGGCCCCTTCAATCAATTTTTCAACAACTTCTACGCCAAAGCAGGTGTATCGCACACGCGGCCGCGCTGAATGCTTTGTTGATAAAATCATCTTCCACGAGTTGTCTTACTCCGTAGTTGTATCGGAGAGCCGCACGACAACGGTAATTCTACGAGTGCTTACTAGATCTACTTCGGGTGCAATATTGCAGACAAGAGAAGATGAAAAAGAAACAGGAATTATCTACAGCTACAACACCACCTCGCTCACGCGCTTTGGACAGTAAGCGGGTGCTGTTCATCTCTTCTTTGGCGCTGAATGCAAACGCAATATGCTGCGCATGTCCGTAGTTGTGCAACTACAGCTACGCTCTTGCATTTCGGGCGCAACATGATTCGTATGTTTGTGGTGATTTATTTACTTGTTAGTTCATTGAGGGATCATTTTTTTTAACTTTACAAAAGTACACACATTTTATCGTCCTAGCGGAAAAAAAAATTATGCCCACCACCTCGTCGTTGGCGCACAAGTTTCGTTTCAGTTACATTACTCTGCCGTTGTCGATCGTGCTCGCGGGCGTGTTTGTTTTTTACACATTCCACAAGGCAAAGGAGAGAAAACGGGAGTACGAGGCAGATGATCCCGGCGGCAAGCCGGCCCGCCGTAGTTCTAGCAAGTACAATCGGTCGCAGGAACGAAAATCGCCAGAAGCGGAACAACGCAAGACCAAGGCCTTCTTCTGGACCCTGAAGGAGGGCAAGGGGACGGCGTCCGCTCGGGAAGGGGACCTGATCTCGGTTTATGTGGAGGCTATGGTGGACGCGGACCGGGGCAAAGAGGTCACCCTGACCGAGCGGCAGAAGCGGCAGTCTTTTCGCATCGGCGGGACCGATCCCGATAGCGCGGAGTGTCGGGCGGGCGGCGCGGAAGCGGGCGAAAACACCCTGCAGCTTGGGTAATGAGCAAAAAAAGACGTTGTTTAAGTGAGTTTTTATTTCGACGTTTCGGTTATTTTTCTTCTTGTACAGCACACGAAGGTAAAGATGAAACGGCTATGTTCATCGTGGGAGTTTGTTTTCCAAAGTTTCCTCGGTTGTCCTTATCGTGTACTTGTTGTGTCATCTTTTTAAATACGGCTGCCGATTCAACATTTTTTCCAGCTGCGTTTCGAAGGTGCAGGAGGGGCTGCTTGGCGTACGGGTGGGGGAAACGCGCAAGGTGTTGGTGCGACACCACAGCGGGCGGCACCTTGGGACGGTTCCTCGGGATTCCCCGGCAGTGCTGCGCGTTACCGTGGAGGACCTGACGGATCTCCGAACTCTCGAGGATGATGACCTCTGACGACGTATTCCGACATGACGTGGCCTCGTTTTTGTTCTCTATTTTGCGGCTGAAAATCATTATTCTGCAGCGATGTCCGAGCACAAGCACAAGCTGATGGATTCGTCAAGATGAAGACGCTGACTAGAAGGAAGACGAATTTTTCTACTGGAGTAGTAAGAAAGGACCATGTTGTGGTTGCCGCTAGCTTGGAGAACTCTATGACAGCAACCGTTGCAGCACAGCACTCTGCCGGGACCGACCGGATGGGAAAGTTGTTTTTTCGGCACGCCTGTGTTCCGTTCCGGGAATTTTGCGGAGACGATTGCGTTGTGAATTTTTTTCATTCTGGCCCGGGTTGGGCTTGTCCGTCACGTAGTGGGTGCTCCTCTGTTTTGTAATTCATGAGTGCAGAAAAAAAGACGGAGATGATGTGCTAGAAGAGCCCTCATTTCTCTGCTGTATGCCATTGAAGGAGATCCGCCAAGCCGCTTCCCCAAAAAATCTATCTCATGCCATTATCTTCGTCGCACCACCGAGTCGTTTCGTTCATGCACTTACCGTCTCTGCTGCTGGCAGTAGGTGGGCTGTTTCACAACTGGCTTTGCGTCCGATGCCACGACCACGAGTCTCGCGAATATGATGGCCTCTCATCTGTGGAGCGAACAAGCGAGGGCAGCAGCGTGCTTCTGCCCGGTCGTAACCCCTCGCAGACGCAGGAGCGACGAAGAGGACCAGCGGCACATCAAGATGGTGTTCAAGAACTTCTGCTTCCTAGAGCTGCTGTTGTTGCTGCGGCAACCGCACTAACCGCCGCCCCTGGATCTTCTTCGAGTCGGGAGCTGGCCGCGGAGCAGCTGCCGGCGCAGCAACATGCGTACCGCTACAGGAGCTACCAGGAGATTTTGCGGTTTTTCGCGGACCTGGAGAAGAGCCACCCGCAGTTCGTGCAGACCTGGGACGCCGTCGGGGAGCTGTTCCCCGACGTGGCGGAGGCGAAGAACTGGGCGACCTGCGGGAACGAGGTCTGCAAGGTGCTGGTGGTGCGCCTGACGGACGAGGCGAAGTTGACCCCCACGACGCCGGAGATTTTCTACAGTGGCGAGCTGCACGGGAACGAGCGCATCGGGCCGCAGGTGTTGTATCAAATGCAAAGAAATCCGTCTGGGTCTGGAACAGTGCTGGAACTTGTGATGCGTGTCTTGCATTGCTGGAAAATCTGTGAGTGTTGTATGAGCAGCAAAAGAGGAGCTTGCTTTGTCATGCAAAAACGCAGTCTGTGATGCGTGCACGTGCTAGGCATCAGTAGGCGTGTCAAAAACTTGTCACGCTTGGCTGCCATTGCAAGTGCTTCAATCATGCTCAATTCCGCATCACAGGTTTCCAGACCCCGACATATTTGCAATGCATCTGTTGGTGGAGATGGCCGAGGAGCTGGTCCGGGCCCCGGAGCGGTGGAAGGCCGCGAGAGGGGCCGCGGGCGGGAGTGGGATGAAAATAAATCCGTCTGCGGCGGAGCGGACCTACCGGGACCTTACGTGGCTGCTGGAAAACCGGTCGGTGTACCTGATCGCCATGAGCAACCCGCACGGGTACTACCACAACACACGGCACGAGCGCGGCATGGACCCCAACCGCGACTTCCCGTACCTGCAGCCGAAGTGCATGCAGACGGTGACCGCGCGCGTGATCAACGAGTTGTTTCGCCAGCACCTGTTCCGCGCGATGATCACCTTTCACGGTGGGACGCGCGTCCTGTCCTACGAGTGGGGCAGCAAAAACCACGTAAAGCACATGATGTCCACGGAGGCCCCCGACAGCGCTTTGCAGGTGGACATCGCGAAGATGATGCAGGCGGCCGCGGGCAAGCAGGGTGCCCGTATGTTTTACCCGATCGGTACGATGACGGACACCATCTACTGGGTGGACGGCGGTATGGAGGACTGGAGTTACGCGGCCGGCTGGGAGGGGCCGCAAATCATCCAGCCCTGCCACACCAAGACGTACAAAAATTACCCGACCGCGCGGACCACCTACGGAGCAGGGTCGGGAACGGATATTGAGAGGAAAAATCCCCCCTCCCCATATCGAAAAGGTATGTTTCCGAAAATTTGTCTTGCTGATTTGAGACCCCAAATCAAGTCTGTCTTGCAAGAAGACAACGCCGCAGGCTCTGCCGCACTATGCAGGCGGTTTGTCATGCTGTTGGGCCTACAGCATAGACGTTTCTCATGCTAAGCGCCTAGGCCAAAAGCTCTCTACTCAGGCTTGGCAGGAGCCTGCAGTCCTCGCCAGCAAGACAGATCTGATTTGGGTACGCAAATCCAGCATCAGAAACTTCGTTTTGATATGGGGAGGGGGGATTTTTCCTTTTGATAACCGACATCCGGACCCTTGTGTATCTCGTCGAGACGGACAATGCAAAAACGCCTCCGGCGAACACCCTCGGTATGATATTTAAGGCACTTCTTGACGCGATTCAATATACGTGTATATTTATATCAAGCGTGTTTAGTGTTCTAAAATTTTGATTTATTGTGACAACGAAAAGTTCTTTCAGTGACTACGTTGGTCGTGTACTAGGTAACTCCGGACAACTTTGGGCGGGGACGGACAGTACCGACTCTTCGCATGTTCCGCGAAACCTGCGCATGAGCTTGAAGCTACTGGAGATGATGGAACCCGCAGTCCGGGTAACCGCGGACGGGAATTCCTTTCACGGCGTGGGCTGTCACACCATCGATAGTGTGCAACTGGTGCAGGTGAAGGACAATACCGACCTCGCGCAGACCCGGTTCGTTGGCTCCAAGGAACAGGAGACGGCGGTGGTGGCCCGGGTGCTCGGAAAGTGGGAGAAGCTTCCCTGCCGTGGCCTGGATTTGTGGGGGCCGGCGGGGGGTGCGGCGCAGACAGCCGACGTTCCGCTCAACGCAACCGTCACTGCCGCGATCGCACAAGGTGGCGGAAAAATCGCCTTTGTCTTATCGAGGTGAAGATGAAATAAGGTGCAACGGCGGGGGCCTCAGAAGTGAAAACGAAGAGTTCTGATGAAAAAAAAAATTTTTTTTTCCAATGAAGAACTTTCTATCGTATGCATAGCCAGAGAAGCAGCTGCGCTGGGACGACCTTCTCTGCGTCAGATCGTTCTAGGCGTCCCAAACAGGTCCCACATGAAACGCCCCGCGCTTTCATCTGTGCCTTTGTGCGAGACAGATTGTCCTCTCGTGCAGCAAAAATTTGTACTGCCCGCACCTGCGGGGTGATCATGAATGTTTCAATCGGGAACAAGTTTCGCAATAGGAATGCTTTGTGCCAGTTCTGGGATGGTCCTTGGTGCACAAAAAAACTCTTCAACATGATAGCTTGCGACTTTTGATCAGGATTGGGGGAAGCAGACGAACCCCGACCCGAAGCTCCCCCCGCAAACGCACCTGGCCAAAAGCCGACTGGAGCCCAGCTACAAAACGACGGTTAAGGACGTCCGGATCGAAACCGGGCGAATCAAGGTGTTTGCCTTTGCCGATGCAAAGCTACGAGGTTCATCTGCAGTTTCGGTGCCCGCCAGTACGACCGCCGCACCCGCCGTGGCGACCACCACCGCGCCCGCCCCAGCGAAGGCAGCCGCGGCCACTAGCACGACAAAGGCGCCTGGCGGGGTGACTACTTCTGCAGCGGGAGACGGCCAAAAGGCGAAAACAAAAATTTCGCTGCCTGTCGTCCCCGCAACCGGAGCGCTCGCAGGGAAGGGTAACAATGTGCCGCGGGAAGGAATAACAAACCCGGCCGCAGGAGCCGCAGCAGCAACAGCAGCGGGTGCAAAAACTACTTCTAGGGAACAACATCAAGATAGGAACGAGCAGGCGGCGCGGAGCGTGCAGTTTTCCTTGCTGCTGCTAGTCGTCGTGCTCGTGCTTTGCAACTTTTCAGTGGTCGTGCGCACGACGGATTCCTGCCTGAACCTGGTCCGGCGAGCGGCGGGACAACCGCAGAAGACGCGGCGTCCGGACCTCGAGCAGCGCTTCGCGCTCCCGAGCCTGGATGAGGACCTGGAGCAGGGGGACCGCTCGTTGAGCGGTCGCGAAAACCACGATCCAGACTCTGACTTGACGACAGATCCCGAGCAGCTCTCACATAGTCACAGCTCGATTGCTGAACCGAAACGAACCGAGCGCCGCTCGTGACACGTAGTTTTTTTGCTTTGATTAATTGAAGTGGATAGGGCACCAGTTCTTGTGGGTCCCCTAGTACTTCTTCCTGTGCCTGTACTTTATACGGTCGTCTATAGCGCTAACGGTAACGGGCTGAAAATTGGAAATACTAATTTCTGGTGCGGGCGGCGGACGAGGTGCAAGCAGGCATGCGACGACCTAGACTTGTGTTCGTCGTTTTCGGCCAGACACGCGAAGCTGCGAGCACCGCATTACTTAATTGCTACCATCAAGGGGCACGGCACCAGTACTACATGGGAAGATGAGAGCTCGTAACAAGTTTTCAAATTTCGCGGTCGTGGGAGATGATCCTTTCTGCTCGCCTTACGGGTGGTCGAGGAGTTCGTGCAGATGTGACAAAAAGTGCGAATAGAGATGAACCTTGAGAATCTACTTCGCGAAGGAGCTGCTCTTCAGAATCTAGAAGATCAAGGAAGATCTTTGGCTAAATTTCATGGACGTGTCGTGGGGGTTACATTTTACCCACACGAGGATGAATTACGCATGCAGAAGATCACGTTATCTTGTTTTCAAACGATGCGTATTGCGTGACAGTCTGCGATCCTGAAAATGAAAAATCTTTGCGGGTCTCTGTAGCGTCGAATCAAGAATTGCTGGATTATCTCCTCGTTCTGAGTCTGAAGGCACGGCAACATGCTAAGTAGCCACGATAAAAATATTGCGCCGACGCTGAGAAAAAGGTGAACGCGGCTTCACGTTGTTGTTTTACGCCTGACGGCCTTGGCGTGAAGAAGTTGATCAGTGTCAGATAGCAAGTTGATCGACCTCTCTTACTTTCTTGAAATTCAAAATGAACACACTGAGGGTATATTACAACGCGCACGCAGGAGGAGGCAGAGTGGGCGGCAGAGCAGACGCGTTCTTGTCAGCCTCTCCACGTCTAGCACTGAAGCTGCTGATCTTTGTGGGAATAACGACTTCTGCTGTGATCTCCCGACGGATTGGCAATAGTCCACAAAACATTCAAGTGCAAAAATCACGACCAGAGGACTTTCTGAGGAAAAGTCAGATGGCATCAAGCGCGAGTACCAAACGAGGCTTGTCTACTAGTATCACGCCCAGTGCAGCTACTAGGCGTAACAACTCAACATCCTCTTCTCTGTTTTTCACACCTACAAGAACTTCGCACCCTCCTTCAATTGCCAACTCTGGGCCGGTGAATGAAAATATGGAAGCCAAAATGACTGCGGGTACAGCTGATGCCACGACGAGCAAAATAAATCCGTCGCCTTTTAGTAGTACATCAACCAGCTCCGACGGTGACAGGAGCAGTGTGGGGCAGATTCCGGTGTACAAGATTTTCGTGGATTACTCCGATGCGGCGAACCTGCACCGCAATCTCGGACGGGCTATCGGGCTCAAGGCGAAGGACATCCTGCAAAGCTGGGCGCACTCCTGGGCGGAGGAGGTTGGTGGTGGTGGCAAGGAAGATGAGATGGACGCGGAGATGCGCGGGGTGCTGGATATGGATGGACACAATACCGCTGCGGTACCATCGCGACTTCGCTCATGATCGAAAAAATCTTGCGATCATGAGCGAAAAACAAAGAAAAAAACGGTGATGAATCGCGACGGTGGCGCTCTGTCTGTGGGTTTTGGTATCACCGCGCGGCCATCAGTGGCACACTTTTAGTTGCTGACAGGCAGCCACCTTTTCGTGGTGAGGCAGGCGTTGCCGCGAAGAAACCAGCTGCGCAAAGCGGTGGGCCTGCGCTCACCGCGCAGCCTGCGCCCGGGCCTGGGCATCTTCACCATACGTGCTTGGCGACCGTGCCTTGCGCCGACACGCAGCGCCAAAGAGCCCGCCCTCCATCGCCGAAAGGGGGCGAGACCACTGCCATTTTGCCGTCCCCCCTTTTGCCCGCGCGCCCATACCTGCGCGACGAACAGTCCGCGCCATGAAATCGGGCTGCCACCGCAGCGGCCCGCCAGGCCGCATCCAGCCAGCGGCAGACCACACACAGGAGCGCAGCGTCCGCCTACCTTTTTCTGTGCCAGCCTAGTGCCGGCCGCCCGCGCTCGCCACACATAGGCAGCATTCTCGGACGGGGCCGAGGGCGCCGGAGCTGCTGCCGCTGGCCACGCCTGCGTCTTCGCAGCGGCGTGGGCGTTGCAACGAGCAGCTCCGTGGGGCGTAGGCGGAGCCGGCCCCGCGCCTGCGATGCGGCAATGGGCAGTCTCAATGGGTGTGCCTGTGGTGGTGGCTTCGCCGGTTCTGGTAGTTAGGTTTGAGATTGGGGGCACAGCGCTTGGGGTTTGCGCCTAGCTTGCGTGGCCGTGTCCCCACCCCACCCATGGATGTCTGATTAGTTAGACACAATAGCCAGCCCGCATTGTAATTGTAAATTTTCTGATCTTGTGGGGACGGTCAGGCAGCGCGGGACCTACTCGCCCGGTGTGCGAAACCATTCCGCGCCATGTGCCTGCCGCCCCCACGGATCTAGCTCGATGACGGTCGCTGTGGCATCGCGATTGCGCGCGTTTCCCAGCACTACTGAACGAGCCCACTTTTCGATCATGATCGAACTCGCGATGGTACCGCAACGGAAGAGTGTCCATCCATAGTGCTGGAGCAGGGGGGTGGTGGTGGCAAGGAGGAGCTTGACGCGGAGATGCGCGGGGTGCTGGAGCAGGTGGGCAGCTAAAAATGTCTGCAGCTAAAAAAATCAAAATTTTGACACACTACGGAGCGAGGCTGTTGCTTGGGTGTTTGTCATCGTGCGCAATCGTATCGAACGGGCGAAATCTTGACGCCCGACATGCTTGCTGACTCTCTCAGGTTCTTGGGTGTGTGCCCCCCTGCACCTGTTGCGCGGAGGAACAGGCCGCCAACTCGCATTACACATTGCCGCTTTTTGCGCCCCGTCTTGGGTCAACTTTGTGGCCCGAATCACAAATCTGAGCCCCTACATCAGCAGAATGCCGTGCTGTGAGGGTTCAGATTTGTGATGCAAAACGTGGCTTTCCGGAAAACGTCTGCACCTCGGCCACTGAGGTCCCAAGTGGAGGTGCAGACGTTTTCCGGAAAGGAGGGGAAAAGTGGGCCTCATAGCCCGTGTTTGTCTGCGTTCCGGAAAACGTCTGCACCTCCGAAATTGGCCTCCAGATGAGGTGTCCTCGGACACCTTTTCGGAGTCGTCCCGAGTCGCGGACCTCCGGGGCGACAAATTGCGGCCGCCCTTTTCGCACGGCCCCGAACTGTATCGGGCTCAATTTGCAGGCAAAAGCCTGCAATTTGAGCTCATACCCGAGTCGGCCTCCTCCGAGGCCACTCTTTTTGGACTAAAATTGCCCCTCGCGCGGGGTCGTCGAGCAAACGACGCAGGAATGGATCGCAGCACCTCGGCCAAGTTCTACAGCACGGAGTCCACGGCGCTCGCAAGCGGGCGGCAGTCCGGGCGAGAAGAGAAGGACAGAAACCGCACTACCAAAAATTTTGTTTTTTTTTGCTGCAGACATTTTTCCATTTAGTATGGCAAGGAGGAGCTTGACGCGGAGATGCGCGGGGTGCTGGAGCAGGTGGTAGGCACTGAACCACTTCGACAAAGTAAAAAAGTTGAGATTGACTTAAGACCCGAGTTGAGATCGAGTCGAAATTTGCATGATCTGGGCATTCATTAGCAGCGACGTTTCTAGTGCCCAAAATTTCCAGAAGCGTGTATGTGGATAGGATAGCTGTGCGAGGTGCTTTTGTGCGTCCCCATTGTTGCTTCTGTCCAAAGCGTGAGGATGAGCTCCCTCGTGCTCGACCGGGTGGGCAGTAAATCTGGATCTTGCATATTCAGGGCGAGCTTTTTTTCGGGTGAAAAAAGCTGCAATGTTTCCACTCCGTCGAGATCGAATCAAGAGTAAGTTGAGACCGAGTGGACACGGACGGAGTTGAGACCGAGTTGCGATCGCGCTCGCTGGAATCGAGTTGAGACCGAGTTAAGATCGACTTGAGATCGACTTGACTTCGAGTTGAGATCGAGTTGAGATCGAGCCATCCTCGAGTTGAGATTTTCACCCTTTTTTCACTGAAAAAAGGAGCAAGCTTTTCTTCAGCTGAAAAATCACGCGGCGCTTTTTTTCAGCTGAAAAAAAGCACACGAAAAAGTACAAGGGCACAACTTTTCAACTGAAAAAAAGCGCAAGGGCGCAATTTTTCAGCTGAAAAAAAGCGCAAGGGGGTAAGTTTCCAGCTGAAAAAAGCGCCGTATGAGTTCACACCTCGTTCGATTTTTCAGTGACAAAAAAGTGAAAATCTCAACTCGATCTCAACTCGGTCTCAACTCGGTCTCAGCTCGATGTCAACTCGATGTCAACTCGATGCCAACTCGATGCCAGCTTGCTCGATCTCAACTAGATCCCAACTCGGTTCCAGCTTGCTCCCTCTCCGCTCGATCTTGGTTCAATCTCGATGTGTTGCTCATCATCTGCGCACTTCTCGAGTCTCGTCGAGGCTGGAAATTGAGCCATGAATTCGCGCTCGAACAAAGCGTCTTGGCGGTTTTTTTCAGCTGAAAAAGTGCGCCTTTCCTTTGCGCGCTTTTCAGCTGCAAAAAGCACAGCTAGGGTGCTCGTTCTAGCAGGACCAGGAGTAACTCTGAACATTTACACGAACGCCCGCGACACATTTAGCCACAACGCCAGCACTGTTTGAACTCGATCTCAACTGGGTCACTGGGCAATTTCCCGAAAAAGTCTTTGTCGATGTGGTTCAGTGCCAAAGGAGGAGCTTGGCGCGGAGATGCGCGGGGTGCTGGAGCAGGTGGGCGACACGCAAATGCGCGACATGCGGGCCTGGATCCGGGCCAGCGAGGAGCACCGCCAGATCTACGAGCAGATCAAGCACGACTCGGTGACGGCCTTTCCCGAGTACCACACGGAGTTGCAGGCCGTGGCGGAGGCGGCGGAGGTGCCGCTGGAAGACTTGCTGCTGTCGAACCTGTATGCATTGCAAATGTGTCTGGGTCTGGAAGAGTTTGAACTTGTGACGCAAACTCTGGAACACACAAAAATTTGTGTTGCATGAGCGCCAAAAGCAGCCTATTTCTTGATACGAAAGTACGGAAGTTTCTCATGCGGGCCAGGCATCAAGAGGCGTGCGCGTGCTCGAAACTCAAATTTGTGATGCTTTTGCCTGCATCAGACACAATTTGCGTTAGCCGAAATATGCATGACAAATCTCGAAATCTTCCATACCCAGACATATTTGCATTTGATAACCTGCGCGGCGAAATCCTGCAGTACTCCGACCCTATGGACACGACGAAAAAATCTTGCACCGACGTATTCTTTCGGCCTCCACCACGACCAGCGAGAACAGCAGGTCAGAGGACCGGCGAAAAAGGGATAATTTTGGCGCAGGCCGATGAATTACCTGTTCGGGATGCCGAACTACAAGGTCGTTTGCCACGCCCAGCTGTTGCAGAGGTTTCCTCGCCCGGCCCGCTCCAGGCACACAACGACGACTGGGACCGGCCCTGGCAGCACATGAGTTACATATGAGAGCGCACAACCCCCCCTACCCCTCGTTTGTATGGCATGAACAGCAATACAAGCTTCGGCAAGAGTGCAGGTTTTGCATGACAAAATCGCTTAGGACCGTACTGCTGTTTGGGCTGCCAGAACCTGTCATGCAAAAAGTGCTAAGAGGCAAAGGGTGGATTTGGGATTTTTGTGACCCTAGATCTCCTGCGTCCGAAGCTGCTTGCGGCGACGGTGCAAAGGTTTTTGATGTGGTGCAGTCGGGTATGCATGACAAAAGAGGGGGAGAGGGACTTGTGCACTGTTATACTACTTTGTGGAGGTGTATGACAGTTCGGACGGCTCCTTTGCGTTCTTCTCCTACTGCTTCCCGGGGTTTTTACCCGGCATGGATTTCTTGGTCAACCGCTTTGGCGTGACCATGACGGTGAATTCCCTGTTTCCGGCCCGGTTCGGCGTGCGCGGCGTGGGCACGGCGTTTCTCAGCCGCGCGGTCGTGGACAGCCGCAGTATGGAGGAAGCGATCCGGGTCATCACGGACACGCGGGCCAGCACCGGCGGCTCCTGGAACGTGGGGCAAATGGCAGTTCGTGGAGGTAGTTTTCGAGCGGATATTAAAAATGCAGTGAACAATGATCGTGCTCGTGCACCGGTACAACTGATACCACATCAAGGACAACGAGCGCCCATGCTCGTGAATGTCGAGACGGCAACCGATGGCGCCTCCCACGTGTTGCATATCTTCAGTGACGACGCCCCATCGGTGGACCCAGTAGTTTCTTCCGCGAGTTCTTCATCTCCACCACCCTCGGACAACATCGACGAACCAGGCGGGAGCCGTAGTAGAAGTTCGCCAGAACAATCTTCCTACTACTTTCACGCAAACGAGTATCGACACCTGGACCTGAAGGACAGCGGCGGTTTTTTCTCCGATCCCTCGACGGAGCACCGCTTGCAGCGGTTCCAGGAGCTCTTTGTTCCTGCTGAAGAAGACGAGGAGGTTGATGTTCAAGACGCGTCCAAGAAAGCGGAGGACGCGACGAGGTCGTGGACCCAGGGAGCTAGTTCCCCTGCGGCCCGGCTGCTCAATTACCTCGCAGACCAGACGGATCCGGTCTACCCTGTATTCCGCGAAAATTCTAGCGACAAGGACCCGGTGTGGACTGAGGTGACCGGGCTGTTTAACTTTGAGCAGGGCACCCTGTCTCTTTTTGAGCACTTGGCGACAAATTTGGACCGAGTTCCTGACTATGTATTCTCGTTTTCTTCATCTAGTACAACCGGGGGAGCAAGAGAAAGAGCAGCGCCCACGACGCCCGGAACTAGTAGTACAACTCTGACGGGCACGGGCCGCGGCCAGGAGGAGAAGACGGGTCTTGCACCAGACACGATGGAAGTCTACCAGTAAAGAGAGCATCTTTTATTTCCTGACCCAGAGGAGCGATCAAAATGAGTACCTGTCCATAATCAAATGCAGTCGCAGACGCCTCGTAAAATGCGTATCTAGTATCTGCTCCCAACATATAAGGAAAAGGATTCCATTTTTGCCCCGCTGCAAATTTCGAACAAAGCAGCCGGCGTGTGCTTTCCCCGCTTCCCACTGCTAGTTTTCTGGGAAACGGAAACCAAACGAAATACTACGAGAAGAAACACAGAACTTCTTACGCTCTGCGGTGCGACTTCTAGTGTGCGTTCATATAGGTTCGTTGTCGACCACCTGCTCGAGAAGTGGCTCGTGTGATCATAACTTGACAGTTTGATCATAAAGCTCGTGTTTCTGATTCTGACATGGACACCGATCCTCGAGTACGTTTTTTGATTGAAAGAACGGCTCCTACCGTACTGAGACCGCTTTTGATGTGACGGTATGTGTAAAGTAAATATCGGTTGAAGTAAGTAGAACTGGGAGCCCAGTCTAGAAGTACTCGCACAAGCGAACGCACTATTCGGTAGCTCATTATCGTGCAACACAAAACCGCGGTTTGGGTTTTTTGAAAAGCTACAAGCAACGTCGTTTCCAAAACAAGTAGGCGGCTTGCTGCAATGAGATGCGTCGGTAGAAGATGTTGAGCATCGGTCTGGAATAAAACTAAGTGCTACAACGAAAATCGGTGAATATTTTGCAGGTATCTCTATTAGTACAACTGATTCGTGCGAATGCGAAAAATCGTTCTGGTAAGTCGTTCTTTCCAAAGGAAAGAACGGAAATTCGTGTCGGTTTGTGGTTCGTGAAAGGTTTCGAAAACCTCGGATTGCACGAAAAATCGTTCTGTGATCGTTCATGATGGAAAAGTGCTGAATCGTGCAAAATACCGCTCTAAGGACGCGAAAGTCTCTCCGCTTCCGTTTCGAGAACGGGAGTGGAAAAAATAAGTAAGCCGCGACAGCTTAGTATCGTGCAGCGCCATAAGGCTGGTAAGTCGCCTAGGCGTGGTCACGTTGAAAGTTTTTGAACATTAAACGCCGCCGGCCTACACCTAAAACTCCAGGTTGACGCACACGACTTCGAGTGCTGTTTGTGGATTCATCCCAAGCGGCTTCGCGTTATTGTGCACAACGAAATCATTCGCTCTGTACTCTCCCCCTTTAAAAAGTTCGTGGCATTTATTTACTATCAGAATTAAATACTTGAAAATCTTACTTTGGAAGGCAACTACAGCAACTTGTTGGTTTGTTTCTGCAAGAACATCCAGTATCTGCAGCAACCTACGAAGGAACAACGATAAGTCTAGTGCCAGTTCTCGTCCTTGAGCCTAATTCACTGCAAAACTCACTGACCACCATCAAAACGACCGCACCCAAGAGGAATTATTAATTTTCATTTCACAATAAACGACCGAAAAACTCCAAGCTTCATACAACTTGTAATATTTCGTGAAGAGGTCGCACTAGAGGAGCGACGGAAAAAATATTACTTTCGCAAACACCTCCACCCAACGCAACAAGAACCGCTTACTTACGACGTGAAGACCGTGGGCGGCTGCAACGTAGTTCGAGTTCCACAAAAATTTCCGACGATCCGGATCCAGCTGCAAAAACACGAGAAGAAGACTGCAAAACCTGTTGTAGTTCCTAGGAGCAGGACACCATGCTGAAGACCGTCGGAGGTTTCTTCCTGCTGCTTGCCGACCAGAGCTCGGAGACCGCGGCCTTGCGCATGCCGATACGACAAAAAAGCATTAGCGTTAGCGTTTTGACATTTGCTGGCGAAAGCCAAACTTTTTCTAATTCTATTTCTAGCTAGTGAGGTAGCTGTGTTCCGTTCAGACAGATTCGCGCTAACTGGAAGCAGTGGAAGCAGTCTCTTCGGCCGCGGAGCGGATCGGAGACGATACCGCCAAAGATGTGGGCGACGGCTCGGCCGCGCACATGTCTGGGGCTTCAGGGACTTCCGGCTACGCGACCTCCTGACCATGCGGGGGGCTGGCAAACCGTCGCTCTTGGAGTGCCTGAAGACTCGTTTTTGGCTTGCGGCGTTTGAGCCCGAGCAAGATGATCAAGCTGCCCAAAGTCTGGCATTAGCGTTTCTGTCCTCGGAGGTCATTTCGACCCCCTGAGCAGAGGCGAATTTGAATGGTCCACAAAAAAAACGCTAATACCAAACTTTTTTTTCCAGCTACAGGTCGTGCCAAAGTTTGGCATTAGCGTTTTTTCCTGGTACTCGAAAAAACGCTAATGCTAAATTTGTTTTTCCAGCATTAGGTGGTGCCAAAGTCTGGCATTAGCCTTTATTCCGGGCGCCCAAAAAAAGTGCGGCTTTTGTGCGGTTCGGAAAAAAACGCTAATGGCGGGGTTTGGCACGACCTAACGCTGAAAAAATATTTTTGGCATTAGCGTTTTTTTGGGTGGCTGTAAAAAACGCTAATGACAGACTTTGACACGAACTATAGCTGGAAAAAAAATTTCACCATTAGCGTTTTTTCTGTTGACCACACAAATTTGCATCAGCTGGCCATCAAATCTGTAGATTTTTGATGGCTCGGCCACGAAACGCCAGTAGACACCCAAAAGAAATGCAAACCCGCACTACAATCTGCCCCGAACCTGGTCAAATCAGGCAAAAGCCCGGCGACGATGGTGGCAGCCCGATGGCGGGTGGATTTCATCCAGAACGCTTGGGCACTGAAGTACGGACCAACGGCGGAGAGGATCTGCAACAAAATGCCGGAGGATACGAAGGGGCGCCGGCTTCCTGTTGCACCGGAGGAGAAGGATACACACTTAGCTGACGGATGTTCGTCTGAGCGTGAACTTGCTAACTTAACATGCAAAATCAAAAAAAAAATTCGCTTGTTTGAAAAAATTCGAAAACGCTAACGCTAATGCTTTTTTGTTCGATGAGGTTTCTTCCTGCTGCTTTCCGAGCAGAGCGCGGAGACCGCTGCCTTGCGCATGCCGATACGACAATGCACAACTCCTCCCCCTCCCCCTCATTCTATTTTCCATGCCACATGCCTCTTTGTTATTGTTTTATTTCCGGAAAGAACAACCAAAACAGCACTTGCACTTCTAGAATCGGAGGTCGCCAATAATTTCTAGTGCATATTATTATTAAAGCTGCAGAGAATAATTTATTGCCAGAGCTTGTGATGTTCTTGCTGTGGATGTTCTTGCCATTGAAATTTTTAAGGGGAGGAGGAGGTATGTACTCTCATATCCGAACGGCTTCGCCCGCCCGGCCCAGCCGAACGAGTCGAAGTTTCTGCAGGTGCAACACCAGGTAGATATGGTGCTTGTTTAGGAAAATTGTTTATTTTCAAATGACTCTTACTGTCGCCGCACTACAAAAAGAAAAATTAAAATGATGAACACCCCCACCCCTGAATGCAAAGTCTGAAATACTTAGTACTTTTGAAATTATGGGTTCTTGGAATTTTTGCGTCAACGTCAAGAAAGAAAGTAGTGCCCACTTGCTTTTGAGTTAACAGAACGACTGGAAGTTTCTGCAGGTGCATCATCACCCGGTCGTGGCGGAGGAGAACAAGCAGGACGCAGCCAGGGAGAACACCGAGGAAGTGGAAGACTGCTGCGAGGGCGACCAGGCGGTCCCGTCGATCGACGACTTGCCCGAGGACCCCGAGTCGACCCCTGCGCAAGGAGGTGGAGGTCGCAGCAGACGTTTCCTGGCGTCGAGCAGCGCCGGCTCGGCGGCTCGCAGCGGTGGTGCTACGGCTCGCAGCGGTGCTACGGCTCGCGGCGGCGCTACGGCCGCCTCCGCGACCGCGACCGCTAAGGCGGGTGGGACCACAACTCCGACCGGCACGGTTCCTCCACCTCCGGCTGGGGCGACAACTCCGGCTACGGCTCGCGGCGGTGGGACCACAACTCCGACCGGCACGGTTCCTCCACGTCCGGCTGGGACGACGAGCGCCGCGGCGCCTCCGGGCAGCAGCAGCTCCACCCCGCCCACGCCCACGACCGCACCAGCTGCATCTACTCCGGTCAGCGTTGCCTCTACTCCGACGAGCGCGGCGGGGGCGAAGGGAGGACCGCAGGACCCCGTCAAAGTGGTTTCGCCAGAGGACAAGGTGGGCGCCGAAGACGAAGAAGAAGAAGACGAACAACCGCCCTGCTGCGGTGGAGAAGCTGAGCAAGACGAGGATGACGAGAAGGCTTCCTCGGGTGGTGCTGAGCCTGAAGAACCCCTGAAACAACCGGGCGGCTCCGGAGGAGGTGGACTGTCGGCGCCGGGCACTCCTGTCACGCTTCCCGACGGTGCGGAGGGGCGGACATCAACCCTCCCTTCGATCCCGGGTCCCACGACGTCTGAAGATACCGCTTCTCCTGCGAAGACGACACCTCCGACACCGACGTCCGAACAAGAGGGCCCGTCCGCTGGCACGACGAAACTGGTGCACATGCACGGACACGTGGACGGGTACGTGCCCGGGGGGGAGGTGCACGGGCACGTGAGCGGGAACATGGAGGTGCAGGGGAAGGTGCCCTCCGGGAGGCTTGCGGTGCACGGGTTCATGCACGTCCCACCCGAAAAATCACGGGACGATGAACACCAACCCGCTGGGTATGCAAGAAAAAAGTACATACAGCCACGACAGCGACACCAGACTCATCAATTTGTAGTACTGCGTTCTTTCTAGTTGTACTATGCTAAAGGTAGTCTACCTAGTACAACTCAAGCTTTTGTAAGGCCCCTGTAAGTAGTGCCCTAAGCTCACAGACTGCTTTAGGTAAGTAGGAGGGACGAGAGGGACGGAAGAACAAATATCCGCAGCTCTTGCACGACCAATGCGTGGTTTGTAGTCTAGTAATCATGTAGTGTGCTGTATGTGATTTCGCAGATCTAAGAAACAGCCTTTAATTATTTTCTACTTCTGTCGCCCAAGTAGATCTACTAGTTCTAGATACCGCAGACTGTTGTGAAAATCGATGCGGATGACTTCTGTAGGTGTAAATGTTGATCCAAGCAACGAAATAAACGACAACTAGTGTTGCTCCTGGAGTACAAAAACGTACACATTGATTTGATCAAGACGAGGCATACTTTATTTCGCCGGTTGAATACAACTAGATAGAAATCGATGATCGTCCAACGGCATAAATAATAGAGTTCGCAGGACTTCTTCTGCTGGAGTGGAACAAGTACTTTTTTTTGTATTATACTGGCCAGCACGTCGCCGAGGAAGAAGAAGTGGTGGCTCGACCTTCTGCTCCCGCGACGCCGACGCATGGGCAGGATGTTGTTGTTGACGATGCGGGATCCACCGTGCCCGAGCCCGAGCCCGAGGTGGAAGAACACGTGCTGGAGGCGGCTCCTTCTGGGTCCGCGACGCCTCCGACGCGTGATGACGATGATCTGGAATCGAGGTCCAGTCACCACGGCGAGGTGGTGGAGGAACAACCTCCAGCTCCGGAAGAAGAGGGGACTCCTTCCGCGACTTTCCCGACGCGTGATGACGAGGATCTGGAATCGACGTCCAGTCACCACGGCGAGGGAGAAGAACAACTTCCAGCTCCGGAACATCACGCAGTGGTCACGGAACATGGTTCGAACCTCGACTTTCTGCCGCCTCCTGACACAACTGTGGTGTCGGAGGATGCGAAATTTCCCGATCTTGGTCGCGAGCGCGAGGACGACCAGGCTATGCATTCGAAAAATGTCTGGGTCTGGAAGGATGCACGTTGTCATCCTGAGTCTGGATAGTACAAAAATTTCTGTTGCATGATTACCAAGAGGTGTCCACAGTTGAACAAGTTTAGCGGCAGTTTATCATGCAGGATAGACATGATAGAGACAGACTTCGCAGATGAAGCTGTTTTTATGCTAGGCCCTGCATTGCAGACCTCACGCGGCATGGAAAATATGCATGACAAGTTTGCATTCTTCCAGACGTCCAGGGATATTTGCATTTGATACAGGCCAGCACCACGGCTGCGTCCGAGGCTCCTTCGGAGTATGCTGCAAGTGAGCAGGAGGAGGGCGCTGCATCCGAGGTCGGCGAAGCCGCGCGGGAATTGGAGGAAGCTGAGGCCTATGCACTGCAAAAGTGTCTGGGTCTGGAAGGTTGGAATTTGTGATGCTGTCTGTGGATTCTAAAGAAATCTGTATTGCATGACCAGCCAGAGGAGCCCAGTTTGTGCTACGCGGGGAGGGCATTTCTCATGCGGAATAGGCATCAGGAAGCCCTGTAAGAATCTGTGATGCTAGGTCATGCATTACAGACGTCATGTGTCATGCAAAATATGCATAACAAACCTGGCAACCTTCCAGACCCAGACACTTTTACATTTGATAAGGCCGCCGAGCAAGCGGCCAAGAAGCAGGACGAAGTGGCGGACAAAGCGCTCGAGGAAGCGCAGCAGGCCGCGCACGACCATCGCGACACTCTATCAAATATAGAAAAATGATTCTCGTCTCTCGTCCCCAGAAGCACTCAGAAACAAAACCCGAATTTGACGTGTGGCGCATAGATCATGTTTGTCTCACAGTGAAGACGAGGCGCAGGCAGTAGGTTGATGTAAGCCTCCTGAAATTTTGTCTGTAAAGAAATGGGAATGTTAGTGCGCTGTAGCTTTTTGGCATCTACTTATGTACATGACAGACAGCTGCCATGAAGAGTCCAATTATCGAGCATGAGAACTCGCCCGCAGAACAATCATTCCGCAGGCACCTGCTCAGCCATTGCGTTCTTGCAAGACAGAAACGGCGGTTCTATTTGTGGCCACATAGTAAGTAGTTCTTGTACAACTAGCATGACACCAGCTTTCCGTATTGACTACCATACGGGGACGACCGAGGAGGGATTCATTTTCCAGCATGATAAACGCCCCCAGAGGTTGTTACGGCTCTGGACCAGGCCGTAAAGGCGGAAGAACGGGCGGACGACGCCGAGTCGGTGGCCGCCGAGGAGCAGCGCAAACTCGCGGAGGAGGCCGCGAAGTTTGAGCACTCTGCGACACCCGAACAGCTCGCCGAGCTGGAGCGAGCTGTCAGCCTCGTAGCGGAAACGGAGAAGGAGGCTGGTGACGCGCAGAAGAAGCTGGGAGAAGAAGTGGATGACGTGACCAAAGCGGAAGAGGACCTGAAAAATGCGGAAGATGCAGCCACGGAAGCTGCTCTATCAAATGCAAATATCTTCGATCTGGGTCTGGAAGAATAGAAAGCGATGAAATTTGGATGCATCCTGTGGTGCTGATGCACACAAAAATCTGTGTTGCATGACATGATTGCCAAGCGTAGTTGCCCAATTCATTGTGGTGAAGGTGAGAAGGAGTTTCCCATGCAGAACAGGCATGACCCCCTCACAGAAGAACAATCTGCGAACAACTACATGCTAGGATCTCCATTCCGGACCTTAATATGGGGCATGAATATCATAATGAACCTGTCGATGACTACAAACCTTGCAAGGCTCCTCCAGATGACCCAGATCGATACTTGCAGTTGATAAGTTTCGGACACCGCATCGGAGATGACGGGTGAGCCGGAGGCGGAGACTGAACCGGAGGTGCGCCAGCACGCGATCGAAGAAGTGGAACACGCGGAACAACACCTCGCGGAGGAAAGAGAGGAGGAGAAGGAAGCCGCGCGAGAAGCCGAGGAGAAGGAAGCCGAGGCGAGGGCAGCCGCAGCGGCGGTCGAAGAACTGGTGCCTGCGACGATTCACGAACAAACGGAAAAAACGGTGGCGGCCGCTGCCGAGGCCAAGCGGATGCGGGACGCGGCGCACGCGGCTCTGGAGCAGGCCGAGCGTGACGTCCACGACAATTATCCCAACGTGCCTTCGGAAGTGGTTGAAAAAGTGGAGAAGGCGCTTTCGGAAGAAGAAGCCACGCGGAACTTGCAAAAGGCCGCGATCGAGTACGCCAAGGTGGCCAACCAGGGTCGCAACGCCATGACGTCGGTGGGTGTCCAGACGGAGCAGCACCCGCAGCAGCCCGAGGAGGAGCCCACGCACGAAGAGCCCGCTGTTGTGGTTCCGACGAAGCACACCGAGGTGGAGGTGATGCACGCGGTTGTGAAGGATATCCAAGAGAAAAAGACAGAAGGCATTGTAAAATGCAATAAAAGTATTAAACCGAAACTTCTATGAGTTAAAATCAAGTGTCTAAAACTATGACTAACTGTAACTCTACCACAAGATGGTGCTGGCGGTTGGCAATTTTTTAAAAAATTTTCTGCATTGCAAATATGTCGTACTAGTTCTGTCTTTTTCTGTGGGATAGAAGAGGCCGTGCATGAACTCCACTATGCGAAGAAAGTTCAACACCAGGCCCAAGCCGAACTCAAGGAGGCGGAAGAGGAGCAGGCGGCGGCCGCAGACCATGTCGCCGAGGCGGAGGAAAAGCACGATGCTGCCGAAGCTGAAGTCGCCGCTGCGGTTGAAGAGGAGGCTGAGGCCGAAGACCTTGCCTCCGAAGCGGCGGAAAAGCAGGATGCGGCCGAAGCTGAAGTCGCCGCTGCGGAGGAAGAACAGGCTGAGGCCGAAAGTGAAGCCGACAAGGCGGGGGACGAGCACGCAACGGCCGCGGCGGCCGCGGCGACCGTGGCTGCGGCCGAAAACCGTGTCGCTGACGCGACGACGGAGCACGCTGCGGCCGACGGCCTCGTCGCTGCGGCGGCAGAGGAGCACGCTGCGGCTGTGAAAAAGCACGATGCGGCCGCAGCCGAACTCGCCACTGCGGAGGAAGACAAGAAGGAGGCCGAAGCGGAAGTCGCCAAGGCGGGGGAAGACCAGGCAACTGCCAACATATTCCAATGAAAAGTGTTCATCTTTCGTTTCCACCCCGGACGTAAGTAGAAATTATTGCAGATGAAATTTATGATGCATAACGTTTTCAAATGAAAATCTGTTTGTCCTCTAGCGTCATCATGAAATAAAGAGACCACGTAATAAATGAGTGGTCTTGTAGTTTCTGATACAGAACTACTCCTAGCGTTGTGAGCAAGGTTGTACTATGTCATAGTATAATCTTGCTCACGACGCTAGGAGTTTTTTTACATAACAGGTCAGGTGGCTGTTCGTGGGCTACAGCTCGTCTCGATGTACAACGCGAGAAACTCTACCTGTATTCAGCATTAAGAATCATTATTGAAACATGCAATATTAGGTGGGGAATGTCAATGTTTCCATTGCATGGGAACAACTACGCTTTGCAATACAAATGCTGCCAAGTAGTAGTTTTGGGGTCCTCGTGGGCGGGGCACTTTTCATTGTAATACAAGGCGGCCGTGGCGGTGGCCGAAAACCATGTCGCTGAGGCGAAGGAACAGAAGGATTCAGTAATCCGCTCTATTGTCTGTTCCATTGTTGTTTGCGGGAACGTGCGGAACATGAACGTGCACAACTACGGAGGGAACATTGCACCATAAAGGCGGAAAACAAGCGAACGTGGCGCGTCGAGTTGGTGAAAGGGTGGACAATTTTCTTGAAGAGGTCGACGACAACATGATTTTATCGCAGACAAAAGCTGTAGCTGTTTCACTGTCGCAGTGGTTGTGCATGAAACATCGCATGGCATGATGTCCGTAAGGGTAAAACAAAGACTAGCCCGAGAAGGTGGAGGAGCACTCAGGAGTTGGAGTTTGAAGACCTTGCTCACTGATAATGTATGATGATGATGATCACGATAAATTTCGACTCGTGGTGAGTCCACCGGGCAAACCTTAGGTGGAGAGGACGACACGGGCAAAACTTAGGTGCCCTTTCTTGCATCTCTAGCAGAGAAGTAAGTGCAAGTGCATACTCCGCATCACAAGTTCGCAGCAAAACAGTTTTGCCTTGCGATACGACCAAGGCGGCCACACCGCAGTGAAGAGAAGAGGCGAGATCATGCAGCTACAACAAAATGCGTAGAACCACAAGTCGCCTTTTTTGTTTTTCATTTTAAACTTTTTACTGGGAAAGCTGACGAGCGAGCATAATTCAATTTAGTTGAAGATTTTATTTCCGAATCTTGCGCGTGATCTTTTTGTTTTTTTTCTTTTTGACTTTCTATGTATAATAAAAGAGGCAGCAAGTTGAAGTTGCTGCTATACGTTTTTGATTGCAGGATTGCACACTAAAAAACTCATGTCATCAAAGCGGTAGAGAAGATGACAGCAATGTGGTGCTGCCATGATCTTCGACGTTCGCTAACTATTAGAGTTCTGCACTGACACAAAAACAAAATCGAGGTCGAAGACGCCGTGTATTTCTAAAAAACAAGACAGCTTGAATTTTTTTAATACACATCAGAGACCGCGCGTATTCTATTGGCTGTACTTTATTTTTGTCGAATTAGTGAAGTTTTTTTTTTGAAAAGGATCAGCGGAGCGCCCAATTTTTCTTGCTTCACTGAAGGAGCAGGAACGCGATAATGCCGTAAGTTGGTCGATAATTTATCCGAAGCATACTAGTTGTACATGATTAAGATTATAGAGGATGTGGTAAGTTTTCCTTTTCATCCGTGCAGCTGCCTACTATCCATCGCGTTAATCTTCGTTCTAGCCAGCCACTTTCGAACCGGATGGAAACGAAATAAATGCCGTGCTGGCCCGGGAGGGACTAATAAATCACCAGGTCGAGACTCGACCTGGTGATTTATTCCCTCCTCGGAGGTGGATGGATAGATTGATTACAAGTTGACTCCCTCCTCGTCGAGATGTTTCTGAGGACATGCACACCTCCCTCGAGGACGTTTTCCGGTCGTAAGTCCCTCCTACCGGCCTACGGCCGCTTTTGTGACGGTAAGTGTAAAAAAAAAGAATATCGGTTGAAGAACTGGGAGCCCGGTCTAGTCGCACAAGCGAGCAGCGCTCTTCTCGGTAGTTTCTCGTCTTTATTTCGTTCATCAAAAGATAGAAAACCGCACTGTTTTGAAAGGCTAGAAGAAAGGTCGGTATTTCCAAAAGTAGGCGGTTTGCTGCAATGAGATGCGTCGGTAGAAGATGATGTTGAGCATCGTTCTGGAATATTTTTAAAACTAAGTCCGACAAAGAAAAATCGGCCATTTCATCGTGCAGGAGATATTAAAAGAAACTGATTCGTACGAAGGAATGCGAAAAATCGTTCTGGTCAGGACGGTCGGTTTGCGGTTCGTGAAAGGTACTATACGAAAACACATCGGACTTATTTTGCAGCATTATGGATGCGCACAGAGCATCGTTCTGTTTATTGATGATGATGGAGATATGAATCGTGCAAAATAAAGTAGTTAAGGACCTCAACGCGAAAGTCCTTTCACTTCTGCTTCGAATCCAAGGAAAACACTAAGTAAGCCACGACAAATAATTACCGTACGCGATAGAGCTGGTAAGTTTATTCCTAGGCGTCACGCTGAAAGTTTTTGAACATAACCGCCTCCGGCCTCTTCGTAAAACTCCAGGTTGACGCACACGAATTCGAGTGCTGTTTGTGGATCCTTCCCAATCGGCTTCTTCGCGTTATTGTGCACAACGAAATAAGTAAACATCTTCAAATTCGCTCCGTACGCTCCCCCTTTAAAAAGTTAGTAGCATTTAATTTTACTTCTGTACTTACTATAGTCTTTGGAAGGCAAGAGCAACTTGTTGGTTTCGGCAACATCAAGTATCTGCAGCAATACCTACGAGTGTTGAACAACGCTAATAAGTACTACCAGTTCTCCTTGAGCCTAACTTACTGAATTTTTCACTGACCACGACCATCAAAACTACCGCGCCCATCAAGAACATTAAGTTACATTTCATAAACCGAACAACTTTACTACGAGCTGCATACAACTTGTAATATTTCGGCGTGAAGACGAAGAGGAGCCAGCAAGGGAAATATTACTTTCGGAAAGACCCCCCGACGCAGGAACCGCTTAAGTACCACGAGGTGGGCGGCTGCAAAGTAGTTCGAGTTTGACAAGTTCGGACCCGGGGAACAACGGGAAGAAGATCCATCTGCAAATAAAATACGAAAAGAAACTACTACACAACATCCTGGTTGTAATTCCTAGACGGAGCAGCAGGCGAGTAACATCAAAAAATCGCAGCCATGCTGAAGAGCGTCGGGTTCTTCCTGCTGTTTTCCGGGCAGAGCTCGGAGAGCGCTGCCTTGCGCATGCCGAAGCGCGCTAAGCCGAACGACTCAAAGTTTCTGCAGGTCCAACACCAGTTGAACCCGGGGCCGAAAAAGAACGAGGACAAATCGGCCCTGTCGGACGAGGAGGAGGACCCCGAAGAAGGAGAAAACGAAGGTATCGCGAGGAAAAATTTCCCTCCCCATATTGACAAGGTATGGTTCCGAAAATTTGTGTTGCTGACTTGTGACCACAAATCGTGCCGGTCTTGCAAGAAGGCAACTCCACAGGCTCCGCCGCAATATGCGCAGACGTTTACTCATGCAAAGTGCCTAGGCCAATGCCGAAACCTCTCTAGTACTCAGGCTTGATATTTTCCTGCAGTCCTCTCCAGCAAGACAATAAGTCTGATTTGTGCTGTACTACGCAAACCCAGCGCCATAAACTCCGTTTTGATAGGGGGAGGGGGGATTTTTCGTTTTGATAGAACATCAAGGGCCAACATGCTGCGGTGAAGCGGACCACGACGACACCGAGGTTGCCATGCAGGTATCAAGTGCAAAAATGTCTGGGTCTGGAAGAATGCCAGACTTGTCATGCTCATTTTGAATGGCCAATGAGGTTTGGAATGCAGATCCTAGCACAACAGAGGCGGTGAGCTCTCCACCATGCCTATCCTGCATCAGAAACTGCTTCGCAGCTTGGTCGAAAGTGGACAGCTTTTGGCCATCATGCAACACAGATTTTTGGCATGATTCTTTTTCACCATGACAAGTTCCACTTGTCCAGACCCAGACACTTTTGCACTTGATAGCTGCAGGGGAGACAAAACAAAAAGCTCGGAGGTGGACCGGCGGCGACGGGCACTCCTGTCACGCTCCCCGGAAGTGTTGAGGGGCCTACATCTTCCTCCAACCTCGGTTCGATCCCGGGCCCCACGTCTGGTGGCACGACCACCAGAAAGGCGCAGGTGCACGGACACGTGGAAGGGAAGGTTCCCGGCGGCGAGGGGAAGGTGCAAGGTGAAGTGAGCGGGGAGGTGGAGGTGGAGGGAGATGTTCATGGGAAGGTGGAGGTGCATGGGTACGTCGAAGTACCAGCGGCCCCGATGGAACCTGCAAGTACGCATGCTTCATCTGGTGCTCCTGCGACGCCGACGCCGACGTCGGATGACGATGATACGGGATCCGTGGCTGCTGGTCACGAGGAACAAGAAGCGCCGGCTCCCACAGCTCCTGCGACGCCGACGTCGAGTGACCATGATACGGGATCTGTAGCTGGTTCCGAGAAAGAAGAAGCGGCGGCAGCTCCTGCTGCTACGACGCCGACGTCGGGTGACGATGATGCGGGATCCGTGGTTGCTGGGCACGAGGAAGAAGAAGGTGCGGCGCCCACAGCTCCTGCGACGCCAACGGCGAGTGACCATGATACGGGATCCGTGGCTGCTGGTCACGAGGAAGAAGAAATTGCGGCTCCCGCAGCTCCTGCGACGCCGACGGCGAGTGACCATGATACGGGATCCGTGGCTGCTGGTCACGAGGAAGAAGAAATTGCGGCTCCCGCAGCTCCTGCGACGCCGACGGCGAGTGACCATGATACGGGATCCGTGGCTGCTGGTCACGAGGAAGAAGAAATTGCGGCTCCCGCAGCTCCTGCGACGCCGACGTCGATGTCGACGTCGGGTGACGATGATACGGGATCTGTAGCTGTTTCAGAGGGAGAAGAAATTACGGCTCCCAGCACAGCTCCTGCAACACCGACGTCGGGTGGCGATGCGGAATCTGTAGCTGGTCACGAGGAAGAAGAAGCGCCGGCTCCCACAGTTGTTCCTGCGACGCCAACGTCGGGTGACGATGATACGGGATCTGTAGCTGGTTCCGACGAAAAGGCGGACGAAGCGCTCGAGGAAGCGCAGCAGGCCGCGCACGACCAGCCCGAAAGTCCTGTTGGTGCTGAGGAACAGGCCGCTGCAGCCGAGGTCGACGATGCTGCGCAGGAATTGGAGGAAGCCCAGGACGCCAAAAAAGCGGCCGAGGAGACGGACGCAGAGGCGGACAAAGCGCTCGAGGAAGCGCAGCAGGCCGCGCACGGCGATCCCGGAACTCCCCTGCAGGTTCGTGAGGACCTGGACGTGGCCGTGGAGGCGGAAGAACGCGCAGACGAGGCCCAGTCGGAGGCCGCCACGGAAGAGGGCAATCTCGCGGGAGAGGCGGCGGAGTTTGAGGACTCTGCGACACCCGGACAGATCGCCAAGATTGAGGAAGCTGTGGATACCGTGGCGGAGACCCAGGCGGAGGCCGCTGTCGCGGAGGCGGAGCTGGAAAAAGAAACGCAGGACGTGCTCGAAGCGGAACAGGCCGCCAAAGAGGCGGAAGATGCGGCCACGGAAGTTCTTGATCAGCATGCGGCGGAGACGGGTGAGCAGCCGGACGCTGAGGTTGAACCGGAGGTGGAACAAGCGATCGAAGAAGAGCAAGACGCGCGAAAACGCCTCGCAGAGGAAGAAGCGGAGGAGCAGAAAGCCGCGGAAAAAGCCGAAGACGCCGCTGCTGCGGCAACGGCGGCTGCAGCTGAGCTCGAAGAACTGGTGCCGGCCGAGATGCAGGAACAAGCGGAAGAAACGATAGCTGCCGCTGCCGAGGCCAAGGACGCGGAGACGGTAGCGGACGCGGCTCTGGAGCAGGCCGAGCGTGACGTCCACAACGATCCCGCCGTGCCTCAGGAAGTGGTTGAGAAAGTCGAGGAGGCGGCCGCGAAAGAAGGAGAAGCGGACGACAAACTGGAAGTTGCCAAGCAGAATTTGCTTGACAAGGCGGTCGAGTATGCCGAAGTGGCCGGGGAAGCTGGCGACGACGAGGGCGGCGACACGACTCCGTCCGCCAAGCTGGCAGACCCGGGATTCCTCGCGTCTGGTGCTGGTGACCAGGCCATTGACACGGTTGCCCCCGCGACGCCGACAGCCATTGGATTTCTTGCTCCTGGTGTTGGTGACCAGGGTGGCATGCCTTCCCCCGAGGCGCCAGGACATGGTAGTGAGCAACAGGCCGCCGCAGCCGAGGTCGAGGAAGCTGCGCAGAAATTGGAGGAAGCCCAGGACGCCAAAAAAGCGGCCGAGGAGACGGACGCAGAGGCGGACAAAGTGCTCGAGGAAGCGCAGCAGGCCGCGCACGACGATCCGAAAACTCTATCGAAATGAGAAATTTCCCCTCCCCATAATCCATAAGTACTGCTCAAAACCCGACTTTAACGAGTCGTACATTCATAGATCATGTTAATGTTTGTCTTACAGTGAGGACGAGTCGCAGGCAGTAGTTTGTAACCCTGAAATTTTGTCTGAAAAGGAATGGGAATGTTGGTGTGCTGCACGTAAGTAGCTTTTTGGCAACTATGTACATGACAGAACAGGAGCTCAATCGAGCATGATAATTCGCCCGCGGAACAACAATCATTCCGCGGGCACCTCAGTCATTGCGTTCTTGCAAGACAGAACAAACGTCGGTTCTATAATTTGTGGCCGAGTAGTTCTTGTTTTTTTTGTACCAGCATGACAGCTTTCCGTTCTGAGTAGCGTATGGGGAGGAGGGATTCATTTTGCAGCATGATAAACGTCCCTGAAAGTTCGTGAGGACCTGGACGAGGCCGTAGTGGAGGAACAGCACGCGGACAAGGCCCAGTCGGAGGCCGCCGTGAAGCGGGTCGAACTCGCGGGAGAGGCAGCGGAGTTTGAGGACGCTGCGACACCCGCACAGATCCTCAAGATTGAGGAAGCTGTGGACACCGCAGCGGAGACCCAGGCGGAGGCCGCTGTCGCGGAGGCGGAGCTGGAAAAAGAAAAGGAGGACGTGCTGAAAGCGGAAGAGGCCACCAAAGAGGCGGAAGTTGCAGCCGCGGAAGTTCTGGATGAGCATGCTCCGGAGACGGGTGAGGAGCCGGACGCTGAGGCTGAACCGGAGCTGCAACAGGCGATCGAAAAAGTGCAACACGCGGAAGAACACCTCGCGGAGGAAGAAGCGGAGGAGCAGAAAGCCGCGGAAAAAGCCGGCGACGCCACTGCTGCGGCAACGGAAGCTGCAGCTGCGCTCGAAGAAGTGGTGCCGGCCGGGATGCAGGAACAAGCGGAAGAAACGATGGCTGCCGTGGGCGAGGCCGAGGAGGCGGAGAAGGTAGCGGACGCGGCTCTGGAGCAGGCCGAGTTTGACGCCCGCAACGATCCCGCCGTGCCTTCGGAAGTGGTTGAGAAAGTCGAGGAGGCGGCCGCGAAAGAAGGAGAAGCGCACGACGACGCGAACGCTGCCTTACAGGAGTTGGTCAATGCCGCCGTCAGATATGGCAGAGCGACCAAGCATCTCGACAACGTGTTGCTGCACGTCCGCACGGGGAAGATTCAGCCCGAGGAGGAGCCCACCGTGGAGGAGGTGAAGGCGGTTGTGGAGGAGGCCGCGCACCAAGTCAACAAGGCCGAGGAAAAGGAGAACAAGGCGGAAGCCAAAGTCGACGGTGCTGTGGCAAAGCAGGCTGAGACCGAAATTGAAGTCGTCAAGGCGGGGGGCGAGAATGCAATGGCCAAGGCGGCCGTGGCCGAGGCCAAAGACGAAGTCGCCCAGGCGACGGAAGAGAAGGCTACGGTTTGCAAATAGTAGCTCCTCTGGGAGGTGGTCGTCTCGATGTCGGAACAACTCGTGATGCTAGTATTAAACTTACGTTAAAGGTGTGGGTGGTCTTCTCGATGAAACTATTGTTGCATTGGAGGAAGGCTTTCGCTTTTTCATGGGCAATCCGCCTGAGAAACTGCGTTTTTTGCGCAGTACAGATAATTCAAATTTTCTTCACGACCACCATCCGGGAACATAAAAAGGCTAGCATTTATTTTACAAGTTCCTCCACCTTTAATATTTCAGACCACCCAGAGGACACAAAAATATTTGCAATGCATAAAGGCGGCGGCGAAGCGATCGTTATTCGGGATGATCAAGGACTGGATGCCGCGTTCTTTGAGGGGGTCGAGTTTTCTGAACCTGAAGAAGATGATGAAATATCGCAGACAAAAACTGTAACTGTTTCACTGTTGTTGTGGTTTTATTGCAGGAAAAATATTAAATCGTATATGGGCTGCATGTCCATGACCATGTCGGTAAGGGTACTAAATTAAATGTATGACCGGGCAGTAGAAGCCTAGCGAGCCTGTGAGTCTAGGCTGAGGCTGGTCGGTCGGTATTCTATACAGACCCTAGCCCTTCGGCCATTGGTAGCCAGGACCTGAGAACGTTCCCCCAATTAAGAGACGGCAAGCCATTTCGCTTGTAAGATTTGCCCACCCACCCGCCCTGGTGATGTTCTCTTGTCAGAGCATAGGTCATGAGGCTTCGAGCCGCTTCGCTTTTCGCGGGGCTGGACAGAGGCCTGCGACGTCTTCGCGTCGGTTGTGGCGGGGTGCCCCATCGCGGGCGCTCATGCCCTTCCGGTGAAGACGGCTTCCCACTGGAAGCCTACGATCATCCAAAGGATGATCTATCTCTGGCTGATTCTGTATAAAATAAAAGGCTGGCCCGAACAGCACTCGGTCGGTCAGGTTGAAAGACGAAGAGCTTGCTCACTGAAGATAATGCATGATGAATGTATGACGGTCATAAGAATGATAAGATAGATATCGACCCGTTCTTACTTTTTCACCCGTGGATCGATGTTGGACCCACGAGGCAAACCTTTGGTGGAGAGGACTACACGGGCGAAGCTTAGGTGCCCTTTCTTGCATTTCTAGCATAGAAATAATTGCATACTTGTTCTCCGCACCACAAGTTCGCAGCGAAACAGTTTTGTCTTGCGATACGACCAAGGCGGCCACGCCGCAGTGAGGAGGAATGGCGAGGAGATGGACCAAGGCGGCCACGCCGCAGTGAAGAGGAATGGCGAGGAGATGCAGCTTCAACAAAATTATACCTAGAACCACAAATCGCCTTTTGTGTTTTTCGATTTTTGTTGCAAAGCTATACCGCTCACCTTGAGAAGCGCGCGCGTCATTCGATTTTTGTTGCAAAATTTTTTACTGGGAAAGTTGGCAAGCGAGCAGAATTTACGTTATGTTTTACTTATTTAATTTTTTTTCTCGATCTTCATCTTACATCTTGCGCGTGACTTTTTCACTTCATAAAAGAGGCAGTTAGTAGAAGTTTTTGCTATACGTCTTTCATTCACGCTAAGAAGAAACTCATGTCATCAAAACGGTAGAGAAGGTGACGGCAATGTGTTGCTGCCATTTTTGACTTTCGCTAATTAAATGTATGACCGGGCAGCAGCAGGCTCGCGAGCCTGTGAGTCGAGGCTGAGGCTGGGCGGTCGGTATTTTATACCGACTGAACCCAGTACATATTCCGGTAGCCAGATCCTTGATAGGATGAGGATCAGCGGGGGGCCTTCGGGTTTCACGTTTTTCCCCCACCCTCCCTCCCTTTGTTTTATCCTTTCATGCTATTGCCACGGATCGATCATGAGGTCTCGCGCCACTCTTGAGGGAGAGTGTGACAGAGACCCATACGATGTTTTCGTCCAGACGGGGGCATGGTGCTCCATCGCGGGTACGCCTGCGTTCCGGGCGAAGACGACTCCCATCGAGTCATGATCATCCCTAGAGTTCTGCACTGCAGCGAAACCGAGCTCGAAGAAGTCGCGTATTTTTGAAAAACTACAAGACAGCTTGAACTGAAGCACGCCTGTGTTTTTAACGCAATACACATCAGAGATCTTCTACACATAGAGAACTTTTATTGTCTGCAACCTTTCTGTCAAATTATTGAAATTTAAATTTTTCTTTGATAAAATAAAGGATCACGATCAGTGGAGGCGCTCGTTTTTCTTGCTTCACTAGAGGAGTAGGAACGCGATAAAAACGGACGCTGATCGATTTACCTTCCGATAAGCGATACAAGTAAGATAATATCTAGAGAATGTAAGGCACTACTACTCCCTACTATCGCATTTCTCTTCGTTCTAGCCAGCCAGTTTGGATGAACTGGATGTAAACGAAAAAGCCGTGGTGCTGGCCTGGGAGCAGGGAACAATAGATCACCAGTTGTCTTTCCGACGAGACGTGGGCTCTGCATTGAAATTGATGTAGGTCGTGCTTCGACTTCATCTGGGATGTCGTAGTGACGTGCGTTTGCTTTGCTGGTTAGACGAATTTACAATTTTGTCAAAATGCGATAGAGGAATTAATTACGTATAAAATAAAGGTTGTAGTACGGGAACGGACACGACGGACTCTACCCGTTCGGCATGTGGTGGTTTCTGGCATGATCTACGTGTTCTTGGTGCCCGTCGCTGTACGGAGGAGGATGTAGTGATACCTACTAATACTCTACTGCTTCTTTGTTCCTCTTCCCGATGTACTTCTTGTTCACAGCACCGCGCGCTGCTTCACCAGCTTCCGTGACATCAGCGGCTTCCACGGCTGCTAGTTCTAGATACTCAAACTGTGTAGTAGTAGTAGTAGTAGTAGTAGTAGTACTAGTACAGCAAGCAACCATCCAGCGGTCGTGTGAGCAGATGTTGAAAGCTACTCATCATGACGTGGCTCGCTCAACACGTGCTTGAGCTGCTCGAGATCTACTTCCACATTTGATATCAACAACTACGAGGGGGAGGGAGTGAAAGAAAAAGAGGCGTCAAGGTTTACTTATTTCTCCTTGTTATGTGAAATTAAAGAACTGAAACCCAAAAAATGAAAATCCAATTTCTGGATGCATCCAGTACCTGAGTGTTGAGTGAGGGTCTGATGGCGCGATCTTGCGGTATAGAGCAGCGATACTTTTTTAGTACCTGAGTGACAGAGGTGACACTCCGTAGAGCAATGCGGAAATTGATCTAGTCTACTTTGAGAAAAAACGAAAGAGAGGGTGTAAAAAATAAGTACCCCGGTATGGTAATGATGTGGATATAGTGCTAGCCTTTATGGATGTAGATGAAATAGATAAACACAGCAAAGGACCACGCCTGAAAAGTCGAGTCCGGAGAAGCGAGGAAGTGGCCTGAGGAAAAGAAATAAAATGGCAGAGGAGGATATAACAGTGCACAACTCCCCCTCACCCTCATTTGTCATGCAAAATCCCAAATCCAGCCGCGACCTTGTGGCACTGTTTGCATGACAGATTCTGGGAGCGGAGCCCAATAAACAGTACTACACTAGGGACATGAATTTGTCATCCAGAGGCCCCACGCGTGATGGTGTTTGTGTTGCCGTTCATGCCATACAAATGAGGGGGAGGGGGATTTGTGCACTCTCATAGAGGAGGAGGCGCCACCGGAGCCAGAGATCTTCAACAAATGCTTCGAGACGTCTATGCAATGCAAATGTGTCTGGGTCTGCACGTATGCAACTTGTCATGCTAAATCCGAATCATGCGAAAGTCTGTGTTGCTTGCATGAGTCCCAAAAGCTGACCACTTTCGACCGAGTTGGAAGGGAGTTTCTCATGCAGGATAGGCATGGCAGAGAGAGAGAGAGATCTCACAGAGTCTGTCATGCTAGGTCCCGCATTCCAGATCTCATGGGTCACGGAAAAACTGCATGACAAGTTTACACTCGTCCAGACCCAGACATTTTTGCACTTGATAGCGTCGAGTGGACAACTATTCTACGGCGAAGTCAAGGCGAAGGAAGACCCCGAAGCGACGTATCAAATGTAAAAATGTCTGGGTCTGGAAGGTTGAAACTTGTGATGCGCATTTCAGAACACAGAAAAGTCTCTCATGCATAGGCAGCAAAAGTTGCCCATTTTCTGTCACCAAAGTCAGGGATTAATGCGGATTCGGCATTGCGAACGCTTCTCGAAACCTGTGATGCTAGAGCTTCCATGCCAGACCTTCTGTGTCATCCAAAAGCAGCATGATTTTTCCAGACCCAGACATTTTTACATTTGATACGACGGAGGAAAGTGCAACGGAATACGTCGCGCACGGCAAAGGGTTGACAATATGGAGCAAAAACACCCTGAGCGGGAGAAAGATTTGCTTCAAGAAGCACACAGGTACTGCACTTTTTAGCACCTCCGTCCGGCTTTGGGGCGAGGAGCGCGGTGGAACTTTTCGCTGCGGGATCCGATGTTGACTTGTTCGAGTCGTTTTTCATTGCACAATGTCAAGTCCAGTTTAGGTCTGGTACAAGCACCCACACTCGTGCTCGTCCTCCGGCATGCATCACTATTTCTTCCGGCATGCATGACTTTTGGCACGACGAGTACTACTTTCAAATATTATCAGGTGACTACGCCGAGAACGAAATGTCAGGAGACGGAACAATAGAGTACTACGATGGGAGCGTGTACAAGGGGGAGCTTGTGCAGGGTACTTTCGAGGGCGAGGGTACCTACACCTGGCCCAACAACAGCTTCTACAAAATACCACCTGAAAAGAACTTGTTGTTAGCGTCTACCATAGGAAGATCGTAGAACATGTACAAAAAAAGAGCAACGCTCATGAAAATAAACTACACATGAGCATTTTTGGGCACGAATGCAGCACATCGCGCAATCTTCACGCGCAGGCCCACTTAATGTTGACACGCTAGCACAAATTTTCGTTGCGATACGAGGGCACATGGAAGAGCAACGAGATGCACGGCCGTGGCTTATTCCAAATCGACTGGAGTGGTACCTAATCTAAACTGTTGTTTTTTACCTCTCATTTCGTCGTATATGGGATTTTAGTTTTCAATACATGCAGTTCATGGTCGAACTTTCTCCCTTTTAGGCGAACATGCAGACGATATTTACATTCCTAAAGAAGAAAATAACGATCACAACAGGTAAATTCCGAGAAGGGCAGTTCCATCGAAACTGTGTCCAGAATGTGAATACGAAAAGAGCAAGCGTCCTGCTAGTTGTAAAGTGGACATCTTCGTGCAACTATCATCCGAAAAAATCAGTGTTTGTTTACAGACCGCACGTAGTTGCGTAAATGCATGACGTACAAAATCATGTCGTGGTTCTTGCGACATCCGTCTACGAGGGGCAACTGCCGATACCAATTCCAATCGGAGAAAAAAATAAACTGATAGTGGAAGCACGTAAGAATTTTTGCGATTTACAAGACGACTAAATGATACGGAAGTGCGGTGGGTGGACATCCTGGAGGAGATTAGCCAAATAGAAATTCAGGAGTTGAGCAAAACGGCACTGCGCAACGACATCGCCCGGGACGACGGCCCACCGGTGATGACCTGCAGCGATCCGTCAAAGATGCAGGAGCTGATGACCAAGATGATTGAAGAGCAAAACCTAATCCCCCTGCTCGTTCCAGACCAAAGTTTTGGGAGCGGTATGTTGACAACTGGATTCAAATTATGATTTCCGTTGATGTAGCATGTAGTGAAGATGATGCACCACCACCAGCTTCAGCTTCATCACATGGGGTACTATGGTAACACAAACACCATATCTTCTTCATTTGCGAAGAAAATAAAAATTCCCAAAGGTAACTTTACGCCTCTTGACTGGGTCCACATGTGCGCCGAGCAGAATATGGTTGGGAAAAAACTTCAGAACCTACTTAGCATGTCAAGTCGTATGGCATAATGTTCTGTGAAGTTCTGGTGCAGATTTTCAACAGGTGTAGTAAGTTGTAGCAACACACTGTACAGCTGTGAATCGGTTGCTTTTACTTGTAGGAAAAAATAGGGTGGTAAGAGTAAGAGTGCTACAACGATGCATGCTGAGGCTTGTGCCCGATGAGGTTCGCGGAGGAGTTTGCGGTGGATGTCGAAGTCTGCGGCCTACCAAGCGCAGGCGGTCGAACCGGCACCAGTGGAAGGCGAGGAAGAGAAGGAAGAAGGGGAAGAAAACTCGGCCGGACCACCGATCTGGAAGGACCCGCTCGCGACCCTAGAAAGCAGAATCGTGCATGTGGGACATATCGCAAAGATGAAGAGACGTGGGTACGACTACTCCGCTCTGCTCTTTACCGCGCTGCAAACGGCACTACTCGCGGAGGATAAAATGTGCCTGGTCTTCGACCAGTACGACGAAGTGAAGTTGCCGAGCGACAATGACATACCCCTGCCCTTAGAACGTACAGATACTTATAATATAGATACTAATTTTTCTGACGAACCCGGGGTTGATGAATTGAATGTTTATGTTGCTTCCACCTGTTGTCGTGTCTGTTTTTGTAAAATCAAAAAGGTTGATTGACAACTACGCGACCCGGTGTCACCAGCCAGCTGATTTCGTTTTTGAATATAATGAAGTTTTGGTCGTCGTTGCGGATACAAAATAAACGAAATAATCTTCGCACACCAGCACCGCCGACGCAGCTGCATGAGGGGGACATGGGGGCGATGGGATCCCCGCTCGATTATCCTGTGCAAAAGCATCGTACTAGTATGAATTGCATATACCAATTGGGTTTGCATTACAAATTGAATTTGTAATGCGGATCTGCCTTAAGATGAAAATAAAAATTTGTAATGCATGACTGCAATCACTACGAGTGCGATACTTTTGCAATTCATATCGATGATGACGAAGCAATTCCCCCCGCACCGACGCAAACCATTATGGCGCGCGCCTTGCAGCTGGAACGAGAGCAGTCCAAGATCCACAAGGAGAAGCCGGCGCCGAGCGCGTGGAAGCTCCAGGAGTTCTACGACGAGTGCTCCCTGCCCATCCGGCTGTGGAACCCGAAAATGTTCCACTACAAGCAATATCAAATGCAAAAGTGTCTGGGTCTGGAAGATTGCCAGACTTGTCATGCATATTTTGCATGGCCCCTGATGGCTGTAGTGCATGGCCTAGCATCACATATTTCTAGAGGGCTTCCTGTTGCCTATTCTCCATGAGAAATGCAGTCTCCGTGTAGACCAAACTGGACTCCTCTTTCTGGTCATGCAATACAGATTTTTTTCGAGTCCGAAGACAGCATGACAAGTTGCAATCTTCCAGACCCAGACATTTTTACGATCCATAAGCAAGGGAAAATACACGAACTCATCCTAGACTACGCCGCCAGCCGAAACGGGAAAGTCGGAAAGGTACGTAGATAGAAGTTGTTTATTGGATAATACTGCAGCGGCTGGTCGACGATGATCTTTGCACTCCAGCGAAGTAGGTGTTCAGAGCTGCTTCTAGTGGTTGTAGAGGCTGCTTATACTCAATAACATAAACCTATGGCAGTGGGAAAAAAAAACTTTTTTTTTTTGCTACATATGGATCACCCATCGTGGTTAGGAGATAGCTTGTTGGCGGCGAGAATCGATTGCGTAGCGACAGCGTCTGCCACGGTATTCTGAGCTCGGTAGTCTGAAGGCAAGAAGATGGCCGCATTGGTGGCGCACTGCGTCACGGCTTTGGGTCCGTCATGGCCGGCGTAGATGTCGAACAGCCAGCCCCTGCAGTGCTGCCGGTTTAATGACAGCAATGCGCGGCCAGCCCAAAGCCAGAGGTGCTGCGCGCTGGAGCAAACAATAGGCCCACGCCCCAACAGGCGAAACAGGCGCCCGCGCGTGGCCTTTGATTAATTCAAAGCCATGCGCGGTCTTGCCGATGACATTGATGCCACGGCCATGGCGCTCTTCCGGCCCTAGGTCTCCGGTGGCGTTTCTTCGCCCTGGCTGTTTTGCACGGAGGCCAGCAGAGTTCCCTCCTGGGCTGCAAACCGAAATCCTCTTGGGGTGCCCCCGAGGGGTCCCCCAAACCCCCCCTCCTTTGGGGCCCTTTCCGAAAGCTACTCCCCATTGATATCTCCACGAAAGGGGGTCCCCCAAACCCCCCCCCCTCAAGGGGGGGCCCGGCCCCGCTTTTGTTTCGTTTGCGCAAGTTCGCATATTTCCATAAAATAGTTCTTGAACAGCCACTAGGCGACTCCGGCCAAAACGGAGACTTGCACAGCCTTGCCGGGAATAAATTCAAGGGCGCCGAAGGTGTCAGCCTATCCTGTATTTGCCGTGTGGGGCGCTCCCAAAGCTAGGGTGGGCCATGTCTCGAGGCCGTGCGCGTCTCAGCCTGCCGCCTCTAAGCGAACCAGTGAGAATGTCGCTGACTTATCCCGAAGCCCCTGCCCATACACCAAAGTTCAGAGCTGCTTCTAGTGGTTGTAGAGGCTGCTTATACTCAATAGTGTTGGAAGGGGCTGGCTAAATGCTAGCGTTGCGACCCGACAAGCCTGCGGTGCGCCATACAGCAAAATACTGCCCGTGAGGGTATGAGGTGTGAGTGGAGTGCTTTACTTTTCCGCTGAATTATCAGCCCGCCAAAAATCTTCCCTGTGATCATTGATTCTTGCCGGAGTGATAATTCACTGAATTATGTGCACTCCACTTCCTGCTTGTCAACGGGAAATGGAGTGCTAATGCATTACGTTGCCACTTCGTGGGTGACTTTTGCCATGCCGGAGTGATAACTCAGTGACTTACCGCTCCATATTCCCCGTTGCCCAACCACCGACCATCCACGGGAAATGAGCGGGCAATGCCCTGAGTTATCTGCGTTGCCAGACGCGTTGCCGGAGCCGGACGAGGCCTATCGGCCAGCGGGAAAGCAGTTATCTGAAAGATTGGGCATCAGATCCCACTCGCCACTCTTCATTCGGCCGGCCGGCCGGGTGAGGAGTGGGACGGATCAGCTATCCGCAGCTCTGGGCCAAAAGCCGGCTCGAGAAACTCGAGATCGGTGCGGCGACCTGAAAAAAGCGGATCCGTCCCACGTTTCACCCACCCGCCCGGGCAGATGAAATCCCACTCTTCCGGATAATTTGTTACCCCACTCACGAACTAGCTCGCAGAATTATCACCCAAGCAAAAGCCACACCGTGAAAGTAGGATTTTATTTTCCAAAAGTGGCAACACAACGGAATGCCGCCACGAAGCTCCACACACTCACACTTTTCGCGGAGTGGCATTCCAAGTGATTCGCACTCCTCGGGAGGTCAGAGTGTGGGCGCATGCATGCGAGGTGGGAGCGCGGCGGGCCGGGCACAATACCACCGGCACGCTGCGCGCCAGAGCTCGCGGAAGGCGCTGGCACAGGAAAGGCCGCGCCGCTTCGGCGGCCTTCGCTTTGCCCTCCTGCCCGAAGTCAAAAGGGGCTCAGGCGGCTCTTTCGTTCTCTTTTTGGGCCCCGTTCGCCCTGTTCCCCATCTGGACCAATTTCTTGTGTTCAGCCATATCTACTAGGGGTCCCGAGTCATGCAGGGGCTTTATATTCCAGCGCATGGAAGAGGAAAAGAGCAATGCGTCCTTTACCTCTATGCGCAACCTGCACTGGTAGCGGCTCCATCGAGTTCGATGCTGAGAAGACGAGAGCGAGGGTTTTGCGCCGGGTAGGCTTTTCTTCTGGCACAACCAAAAGCCCCCTAGGAAGCAACAAAGAGGAGACTGCCAACCTCTAGAGGTGCAGAATCTCCTTTGGGGTCTCCTTTCGACACTTTTAGGTCGTATATCGCACATCGCAAAAAAGGAGACGGCCGACCTCTAGTGGTGCGGAGCCTCCTTGGCCGTCTCCTTTCAAGCATTTTAGGTCGTGGATCGCGAGCCAAAGCGCGAACCCCTCTAGAGGTCAGTAACCTCCTCGGTCGTCTCGTCTTGAGAATAGCACCGCGAACAGCTTCAAAAGACGAATCCGAAAAAGCCCGACCTTAAAGGTCGAAGCCTCCTCCGTGGTCTCCTTGATGTCTCCTTTTCGTCAGAAACTAACGCGGAGTGGGCATTTTAGGAAAAAGGCCAAAAAAGTGCCTACCTCTAGAGGTTTTAGTCTCCTTTTGGTCTCCTTGGAAGACTGTAGCGGCTGTAGTTGGCTCGTGAAAGCCTTTTTTTTTGAGCTCCATAGGTTTTGGTCTCCTTGCTCCACTAGTTTTGGTCAAGTTGCTGCTAGTCTATAGTTCTCTATGGTAGTTCAGAGCTGCTTCTAGTGGTTGTAGGCTGCTTATACTCAATAACATAAACCTACTTATGTTTAATACTACTTTACGGTGGTGAAGAAGATCTTCGATGGGCACGAGTTGCCAGATTCGTGGCTGGAGGCAGCAATAGCTTTGCTGCATAAGAATGGACCAAGGGCGGAGCCGCAGAACTATCGGCCGGTCGCCTTGCTCCATGTTGGCGAAAAAGTAGTAAGCTTAATAGTGTTAAACCGGGTGCGGGAAAGCGCCTACAAAATCATAGACAAAAGGCAGAAAGGCTCAGTAAGGGGCCTCAGTTGCAGACATGCGGTCTTTCGCTTGCTTCGGGACATGGAGCACGCGATCAAAGCGGGGGAGCAGCGGGTCTGTGATTTCATCGACTTCCAGAAGGCCTATGACTCCTTGGACTGGCAGAAGATGACCAAGATTTTGGGGTGGCAGGGGTTTCCTGTGGAGCTGGTGGAAGTCGTGCGGCGAATGTATGGCTCCGCCACATTCGCGTTGAAGGTCGGGCCGGGGAAACTAAGCAAAGCAACCACGCGGCAAAAAGCGGGCATCAGGCAGGGCTCTAGCCTGAGCCCACTGGTTTTTGTGCTAATTTTGGACTTTGCAATGCAGGCCTTCGAGCTTGCAATGCATGAAGAAGAGGCTTGGGTAGGAAGCAAGGATACCCCCAGCTTCCTATCCTGGTTGGGGTTCGTGGATGACTTGGTAGTCCGAAGCGACTCGCCGGAAGAAGCACAGGCAGCGCTGCTGCAGCTCCAGGCAGCCTGTAGGTTCGCGGGGCTCGAGTTGAACGCAAAGAAAACCGAGGCCATGACCATAGGCCTGCAGCCAACCAAGAAGGACAGCAGCGACGCAAAAAAGGAACGCTTCACCACAGAAGAAGGAACCGCGAACGAACGCAGCGGCTGGGCAGTCGAGTGGGACGGGGTGGACCTTGTGGAGGAATTTGCAGCTGCGGCCAGATCCAGGAAGCCCATCGCGCCGGCGATGGAGAAGACCACGCATCTTCTTCTTTGGGACGATGGGAAATACAGTAGATGTTGGATGAAGAAGACAGGGTGGACAATCACGGACGCGGGGGAGCGAATGCGAATAGTGGTTGTCAGAGCTGCTTCCAGTGGTTGTAGGCTGCTTATACTCAATAGCATAAGCCTACTTATGTTTAATACTACTTTTACGCGGTTGCTGTAGCTGCTGACATACATTACAATATGTCGTGAATGTGGAAGCGGTACTAGCTTGAAATTGAATATTCATCGAACAAGAAAAATAAATCCCTTCAGATCGGGATGCAGGCTGCGAAGCCAGCCGAGGGTGCGGAAGAGGAGGCCGTAGAAGATCCGGGCACGGTGGTTGGACTCGACATCAAAGGCGGCGTTGTGGATGAGAAGACGTTCTACCATCTGGAATTCTGTGTCGTCGTGGAGCAGCCCGTGGTTGTGCGTTTCGAGGAAACTCGGGTCAGTGACATTCGCACACAGCTGGCCGAGCGCTTCTCAGAGCATCTGCCCTTGCACCGCGTTGGCGTCATTTGCTGCACAATGAAAAAGGAATAAATTTAAATTTATTTTTATAGCTACTTAGCAGGAGACTTCTAGACACTGAACTTCGCGTTTTGCAGCTGCAGCTGCGCCGTTTACTTTAAGTTGATGTTGATATTATTGCAGGGGTCGAGTTCATCAATTTCGATAGCCCCCCGATCTATCATCACGAGGACTAAGTATAAGACGAGCACTTCAAACGAAAAGTAGTTTTAAATTGAACCGAATCCGATAGGGATGAATAAAATCAAATATTGTAGTTGATCTGAGCCCAGGATTTTGGGTGACGAGTAGGAGTAGCAACTAGCAGATGACCACGTGTTTTTGTGTATCAGGGAAGTACAGCGAACAGCAACAGATTTGAGTTAGCGCTTCCAGGAGGACGACGACAAGCAGGGCAGTATGACAGCTTTGCATCACGAAATGAAAATATCTGAGAGTGTGGCGCTTGCCTTCGCAACAGTCGGCTGTGGACCACGACTGATAGACCAATCATTAGTAGGAAAACATCTTCAAGCCCCGTGTTCAGCTTTATCCAGGTGCTTACTATACTCGCGGCCATCGAATTGTATTTGTATTCGTGGAACTGAAGGAGCCCCTGAGTACTAGAAGTTGCAGTTCTTTGCGAGTTTCCTAGTAAGCATTGATAAAGATGATGATCCTTATTTTATCTGCAGTGATATTAAGCGTGGACCAGCGAGCTGCAACAAAGATCAGATGAAAACAGTTCCCACGATAGATTTCAATCTTTACGCCATGTGTGTTTTACTTTTCTCCAGGCGGTCTAGTGATATTAAGACCAACTCGATGGGTAGAAAGATTTTGAGGACCGAAGCGTCTTTACAACTTCTGGATTTCCAAGAAACGCTCTTTTAATGTCCGCGTCGCGCAGCAGCAGCAAGAAGAAGATCCGCCTTTGTGAAATTGTTAACCACCACGAGGACCTTTTTCTCTTCGCCCTCGCTTGCTAGTACTTATTTAAGTAAGTACACTGGCCATCCATACTACCAATGGGACTACTTTTTACAAACTACATGAACCGCAGCAGCGAGCCCTGAAGAAGATCGTATTCCTCTTCTTCCGATCTACGAGAAGTGCAGCTGCACCTCGAATAAGTACGTGTTTTTTGATAGGCCGAAAAATATTTTATTTTAGTACCGAAGCGAAAATACTACTAGAGCAAAAAGTTTTTGATACAAGTACTTTCATTTTGAAACGACCGTCAAAATTGGGCGCGTGGAGACGACCACCACCATGTATCACACCCGACCTGGGCAAGCCGGCGCGCCAATGGGCGGCTACGGCGGGATGCAGCAACAGCAGGGCATGGGCCTCGGTCCGGGGGTGCAGCAACACCAGGAGCCGGACTACACGGTGAAAAACGACGCTTCGGAGTTCGAGAAAGAAAACGACTTCGTGCAATTTTTCAAGTACATCCAGGGACACCACTCTTGCACCCACAGTTCCATGATCGGGCCCTCCGATCACCGCATTCTACCAAATGTAAAAATGTCTGGGTCTGGAAGATTAGAACTTGTCATGCTAAATCTGAATGATGCAAAAATCTGTGTTGCGTGAGTACCAAAACCTATCCGCTTTTGACCAAGTCGAGAGGGAGTTTCCCATGCAGGAGAGGCATGATAGAGACATCAAAGAATCTGTCATGCTGGGTCTCGCATTCCAGACCTCATGCGTCACGGAAAACCTGCATCAGAAGTCTTTCATTCTTCCAGACCCAGACATTTTTGCATTTGATACATTCCCCGCAGTGGCAAATTCGACGTCACCAAAAAGGACGCACTGGAAAAACTGTATATTTTTTTTTCTTCGAAATAAACCGATGTCTATAAAAAAAAAATCCAATAGAAATTCTCCAACGCCCCAATAGAGATTCTCCGTATAGAGAATCTCCCGCGTCGAATCTATCGGCTCCCGCTTTGTCTTCGGTTGCGTCTGCTCTTCGCCTTCGCCTGGCGCAAAGAAAAGCTGTTGGCCTTCCTCTGGCGCAAAAGGCCGCTCTCGCTTGACTTTTTCAAAGTGCTCTTTTTGTTCCGTGCCCATGGACGGGGAAAAAAGTTCCTGTGCATGTTTCGGCCTCCGGGGGTTCAGCTTTTTCATTCTTTATTTGCCCGCCGTCAGTTGCGGGGAAAGAAAGAATAACTTCGCACCGACCTGGCGGCCGGCGTAGGGGAAATAGAGAATATTGCGCACACTGTGCGCGCGCGGGCTTCTTTTTGAGCGGCCAGACGTTCTTGCTCGCCGATGCGCGGCATCTGGCGGCGTGGCGGAAATGAAAATAATTTCTGCGCGCTGCGCCGCGGGGGCTTTTTCTTGTGAGCAGCCGGGCGCCTCTTTTCGCCGGCCCGCGCACCACATCAATCTTGTGGCGTGCTGGGATCGAAAAATAAATATGCGCGCCGCTGCCAGCGCGCCGCGCTTTGTAGCGATGCGGGATCGAATTCAAAATCCGACTCGCCCACGCGCCGCGTGTTGTGGCGGTGTGGTTCGACTTCCAAAAAATTTCGCGCGCTGTGCGCGCGCGAATTTTTCTCTCTGGGCGGCCGCGCACCCCCGTCGCCCGCGCGGCGCGCCTGGTGGCGATGGATGCGGAATCGAATGCGAAAAGTTTTTGCGCTTCTTTTTCCTTGGCCGGTCGCGTATTTTCGTCGCCCGCGTTTCGCGCTTGGTGGTCGGCACCCACAGTTCCATGATCGGGCCCTCCGATCACCGCATTCCCCGCAGTGGTAAATTCGACGTTACCAAGAAGGACGCACTGGAAAAACTGTAATTTTTTTTCATCTTTGTAACATATAAACCGATGTTGATGAGTTCTTCGACGGTGAAGACATCAAAGATTCCTTGCTGTAAAAATCATGTGCTAATGACACAGAAGCTGAGTCAGTGAGTAGTTTTTCTATAAGGATAAGGAAAATTGAAATAATGAATCGCGAATATAAAATCGTATCCTCTCTCTACCTATAAAGGTATGCCGCTGTGTCTTTCTTCCACCGCCAGGGAAAGCCGCTGGTGCTGTGCGAGATTGCGACCAGCCGGTTCCGCTTTTTCGAGGACGTAGATCTGCTCCTCCCAGCCGAACTGAAGGACCAGCTGCCCCAGTTACAAGACCAGTGGGTGCACCACTTGCTGCGGCACAGGGGCGCAGTCCTGGGGGCCGTCTGGCGAAGCGAGGACCCGCTCGGTATTTTTATACTAGGATCTTCCGATGATGATCTACAGTTCTTGCTATAAGATCATATCGTGCACTACGTATTCGTATGAGCCGAATTTCTATGTTCTACAAAAATCCTTATCCAGGTGTCAAGTGCCGTTCCGAGACTGCCACCGTGCACGTGTTTTCTTCCTCCGGGTGGAGTTCCCGTCACAATCAGCCGAAAATCTCCTTGCACTTCGTCTGGCCCGACTTGATCTGCACGCCGCGGGAAGCCAAGGGAATCCGCAGTGCCACCATCGAGTTCCTGCGGGAATCCTGTTCGGAGGAACTGTCAACGTTACTGGAAAAGTGCTACGAAAAGAACCCGCTGCAACAGGACTTAGTCGATATGTCACCCTGGGAAGAAATCTTTGACAAGGCCGCCACCGAGGGAACCAGTTTGCGGTATTGATAGAAATTGATGATCTATAGAAAGAAAAATGTTTGTCACAGTCATTAACTTGGAGACTTAGAATTGCAAATTTTTTTAGCATCGCAGCTTTTCCTTGTATTGCAGAAACACTAGGGGAAACCCCCTACAAAGATTGGCTGTGATGCATTTTTACGCATGGCAGGCATTTTTTGTATTGCAGAAATGCCCATGAGTGATCGCGACGAACTTTTTTTCTTTGATATGATCCCACGACGAACAGCTGCAAACAAAAACAATAGAAAAGTATGCAGCCTCCCTTGTAGTTTTTACGTGCTTCCGTTATTATGTCTTGGGGATTGTCTAACCTGTCCCCATGATCTGACTTCATCATCATTCACACACAATGAAATAACAGATTGGTCTTCTGTGACAAGGGTGCGAAGGCGGACCTCGAGAAGAAGATGGCCGCACGATTAGAGGGGCGTCCCAAAGTCCCAGTAGGCACTTACCAGGTAAAAAGCTCATCATGTGCCAACAACAAACAACATTGGATGTGGCGAAAATTGTACATTGCATAGATTGATAAGTACGTCGTAGTAGATGATACAGAGTACAGGACGGTGAAAAAATATTAAACGTGAAGCAACTACTCCTCGTTGTCGATGCACAAAAATTTAAACTACAGGTCGCGTTGTCCGCAGGAAAGGTGAACGAGTGCGCGGCGACGCTGCAGAATGCACCGTCGGAAAAGGGCGACATCCAGTGGTTGTTGGACGCCAGTATACGACTGGGTGACGGCGGAGCAGAGATGCCGGCGGTCTCCAATGTGTGGCTCTCGGCGACGCAGACCAAGGGTCTCGCGGGCATCAAACCACAACCAGTGGTGGCGGCCAACGGAAATGGGTTCGGCGCAGACGCAGCGGGCGCCTACCCCGTGGATGAAAAGTACCTACGAGAATATTGTTTGAAGTCGAACTTTTTGGTATCTCTGGTTGTTCTCCTCTGGTGGGGGCGCAGAATGCTGCAATAGGTTTGTCTAGTCGTATCATGATAAGAGTAAGTAAAACAATCACTACAGCATCCAGCAACTGGAACGTGAAATGCCGCATGGTGGTGACGGATTTTCGCAAGTCAAAAAGGAATTGCTCGGAAAGAAGGTGGACCAGAACGCGAACTGGATGACAGTCGAGGACTACAACCCACCACAACACGACAGAATGGCTGGTATAATATCTTCCATGGTATTTTTCCGCCCTTTGCAAGACAAACACAATCACAAACTCGCATGTAGTCCTTCTTGCTGCACGTCGTCTCACAACGCCACTTGCATTTTGCGCAGCAGGAGGACAACGAACGTGACAATGATGTCGACGTACTAATTTTGTCACACCTAAAAAATTGTTCGAAAACTACACTTTGAAAAACAGTGAAACTGGATGCCAACGGAGGACAGATCGCAGAGTTGGTGATTCCGCCGGACGTGTATCAGCTCCCAGTGGACGTACAGTACAACACGATGGACGGGACGAACAAGCAGTATGTGATGCACTTCCAGCCAGGCAAGGACAAGTACGGCACGTGGTTCAACAAGGACGAGAAGGAGGGGGACACCTGGATGTGGCGAAAACCCGCGGTACCGCAGCTCAAGGAGGACGGGTTGGCACCCATGGAGTGGCCCACATGGGCGGAGTTCGTGCTCATCGAGGTCGCCGGCCACGCCGACACACCACAGAAGACCATGGGGCTCGCCGCCATCATCTGCGCTGTGTCCAACGTACCCACCAGTGGAAAGGTGCACGGAGAAGCCTACTGGAAAGGTATGATAGATAAAAGCAGCATATAGTGGTCTCATTGCTCCTGCTCCGGCGAATGATGAAGATACTGGTCGTGTTTCTTGCTACTAACTAGTACTTTCTTCTCAGGAGCATTCGGCTACAACATCCGCGAAGATGAAAAGAGGGTTTACCAATTGCTCTTTCGGCGTGTGTAGCTCGACGAGCAAGGTGCAATCATTAATTCGCGCTCGCGCTCCGAATGCCGAGCGAATAATACAACGTTGCACACATCACAATCTCATATTGGCTCTATACTTCTCAGGTCACATGTGCTTCGGGCCAAATGATTTTGGTGATGACATGGAATACGCAGTCAACGTGCCCCTGGCCACGATAGCAGCGGTTGTCTTTGGTCTGAAGGCAGTTCTGGATTTGCGAGAAAAGATCGGCGGGCAGAAAATCAAGGGTAAGTATAGAGGATGAACGAGCCAAGATATTGATTGATTTTGAAAGTCTTCCTACTTCGCTGCAATTTTTGCGTTGGAAAAGCTCTCTTCTTTTGGGCGGCCTATATCTCCATGCCCTTTCGGTTGCTCCTGCTTCTTAAGAAAGTAATATGCGTAGAATGAGTTTTTACTGATACCACGGATTGAGCCCGTAACGAAAAATATATTTTTGTACTGCAAAAACAAATTGCGAAACTTACTCCTGTTCCCAGGTATCTTCATTAGTTCCGACCATACCGTCGTGGAAGCGGCAGTAGACGGACAGTGCAACACGGCGTACCTGGAACCCTTGGCGAAACTGCTCACCGCCTACAAGCAGGAAATCCTGGACGATGACCACTTTCCGAACTGCTTTAACTTCGCGGTATTTGAAGCTACTTAGCTTGTTTGCACGTATATGAATTCATTTTCCCATGCTTGTGCTTCGTCAAGAAAAAGACTTCGATTTCCACCACCCAACACGATATCGTGTTGTAAGCGTTCTCGTTTAGCCGCTTCTAGTTGTGCAGTTTGTTTTGCGCTTCTGAACAAGCGGTTTTCTTTTTTGAGCACATTCGTCGCATCGCGGCTCCCGGTCGTGCAGGCCCGTAGTTGCAAGTCGTTTTCGAGGGGACACTCACGTTTTTTTTTTCAAAATTTTCGCAGGTCTCCAAAATTCAAGCCAGTGCGAACAAGGCTGCTAAGTTGGCGAGGGAAGCGCGACAGGGGGCGACCGACGAAGATTATTCTGGTTGCTCCATGGGTGATATTATGCATTGCAAAAATGTCTGGGTCTGGAAGGTTGGAACTTGTAATGCTAGCTTTCCATACCTAGAAAATCTGTATTGCATAACCAACAAAAGTCGCAGCCTCTTTTGTCATGCAACATCGCAGTTTGTCATGCGGATTGCCTATGAGAAAGCGTTTTCGGAAGTTGTTATGCCAGACTGCATTCGGAAGTGTTTTCATCATGCCCATTTTAGCATCACAAGTTTCCAGACCCAGACATTTTTGCATTTGATAGATATCGAGTTGGCGGATGCGGTCATTTCCTCCTGCGAATCCGCAGCAAAATCTATTACAATGAAAAATGCCCCCACCCCCGAACTTGAAAGCATTTGTATTGCAAACCTTTCCAAATGAAACATTTGCCCTCTTGCATGTATCAGCATCACAGATTTCCGATGGTGAATAGCAAAAATTTGTATTGCAAAAGATCCCAGCAAGAGCGGTGCTTGTCATGCAAGCGATGCGACACACGACTAGATTCTGCATCAGTGTCTGAAAGCCACTCAGATCCTCGATGGTATGATCGACATGCTGATTGAAGGTGGTGGAACTCACGATGTGATTACAGAGGGAACGAATCGCAAATGTGCATTGCATGTAGCATAGCACGCGGGATCGCGTGCGGCGTGTTTGTGTTCTGAGAGCCTTCAGCTCTTACGTTGCAACTCCTAAGCCTGAAAGCGTACAAGGTTCGAAATCATGAATCGATTGAGTTTGCGTACTAGCATCGGGATTCAAGATGCTGCATCATCATCTGATGCTGTAAACACGAGCTGACTACATCATCATCTTCTGATCATCATCTGTCCAAACGGGACCAAACAGGATGGATCTTCATGCTGTTTCGCATCGAAAGTCTTCAAGGAACATCGGGACTCGCAGTCGTCCAACAATCAGAAAGATTCATACTCCTTTCATGCATGACAAAAAGTTTTCATTTGGAAACTTCGCATCACAAATTTTTGCAACTTTGGGGGTGGGGGGCACTTTTCACTGTAATAAAATCGGGTAGCAAGCACTAGCGTGTAAATAGTATTTGGTAAGAACAGAGAACAATGGTGCGAGTTTTCAGCCGTACGGAGGAAGAGGATCATGTTGATGACAGCGCAAATGTAGATTAGCAGAAACACAAGCAGTTTTTGTTTGGTCCTCTGTCCATACAGAAAACAAAAAGCCGCGCAAAATTTATGAACTCGAAGATTTATATCAGTAGGAAGTCTGTTCGGAAAGTGTCTTGTACCGTAATTTTTCCGGACGGCCCTGACATAACCCACACTTTACTATTTATTACACTCTACTGAGGAGCTATACCGCCAGGAGGAAAGAAAGTTGAAAAGTCACACGGCGATTATATCGTCGGCAGAGATGAAGACGAGTGCGTCGCCTTCTCCACGTCCGTATTTACTATATGTTATTGTCATCAACAATGTAACCGAAACGAAACCGGGTGTTGCTTATTGTCAACACTTCACCTGCTCTCGATATCCATGTTATTAAACGACCGAAGGATTTGTTTCTTTAAAAACTAGTTTTGTTCGTAGAAGACCAATCGATTTGTAAATAACACAACCAGCAATTCTTGCATCGCGGCGCGTCGATGACGAATGCCCCGTCGCTATGACGTAGTTGAGCAGGTCCATTACAAAAGGTAAAGGAGCTTACTATACTTATTTTCATTTTTTTGCTTTTGACAACCACACGCATTTTTTTTGGACGATTTTATACATCAAGTAAACCCGATCCCGACGATAACGATTTCAAGATTCAATTATTCACACCGACGGCAAGGTCGCGGCCGAGTAGGACTCTGTTCTTCTCGCCCGACGGCCAAAAAGCGCAGGACTCATTTTATCAAGCAAAAGCGAATTTGTTTTAACCCTATCACTGGCTCTGCTTTTCAAGATCCAAAATTGCTATACATCAACTTCTTGCGAAACACCAGGAACCTTCATGTCTATCTTTTTGCTTATCATTTTTAACACGACAGCAGCACGGCCACGGCGTTGCTGATGCTGAAAGTTTTCAATATGCTCAATTTCGATTCATCATTGTTTCACGAATGAAAGAGATTCGACGGCGAGAACCCTTCGACATCCATGGTTGAAGCCGAATCCGCACCTACGCAGTATCTATTGATTTTCAGTACACGCGATCACGAATGGATAAAATGCCCCTCAACATCAACTTTTACTTTGATTTTCAACGACTCGCTGCTCCTTGCAGCAAAGCAAGGACTCATCTTCGACGATAAACTTTGAAATGCCTCGTATTTCAAATAATGCACTATGGCTTTTTTTGAAACAAATTGATAAACCGTCAGTCTTGATGGCGTCCGCTGTTTGGTAATTCATTTCGCGGTGAATTTGTTCCTGACCTGCGATCGTTTTTCTTATCTTCGGCACGCACAACGACTCTTGCCTAAAACTTCCGTCTCATCCAAAGCACTAATTCGTTGAATGTAGCTCGCACTCCGAGCTGCAATCTATCGTGCGTCCAAAACAGTAAACGTTATTGCTCGTCCTGACGATCGTTTTCCTGTCTCTCGTCTTCGTACACTTTTCGTTTATTCCAGTTATGGTTCTAACTCTTGTGTCACTGTCTCCTGTCGTGCGTTCTTTCGTCGGGTGCGTTCGTAGGAAGAAGACTTAGTTTCGCCGATTTGATGCGTTAGATAGTCTATCTCGGCTCTCCCGGTAGTACAGTCCCTATCCCAGTCCCGTACAACAAAGAGAGCAGAGGTAGAGGATTGACGTAAGTATTCGGATTCTTCACGGTCTCATCATGTGCAGCCTGGTTTTGGTCTTGTACCCAGCATAAGGACTTTGACATTGACTTGCGCTTGAATCCATAGAAATGTCATCATCGACTACGACATTCCCGACCTCGCCAGCACCTCCTCCATCGGCGACTCAGTACCTGCAGTCAAAATCTTCGGAGGAAGGAGAAAACGTGGCAAAAACACCTTGGGCAGTAGTACCACCAAATCATGTCGCCTACACGACGACACCTGCGAGCAGAGGACGAGAGGACAAAGCGCCACAGAACAAGCCAGCGGCAGATGATAAAACAAGTGGTAGTCCCGACGGGGACGTCCGGGAGGAAAACCAAGACGCAACAGAAAACAACAAAACAGAAGAGCACTCTATTTCACGACAGCAAGTTGTGAAGAAGACACTGCAGCCGCCCGTTATCGTTCTGGAAGGTGTGAGGCCCGCGCGTTTGTTTTCTTCCCCCGCACCGCAAATTCGACTGCCCGCGGGAGGACATACAGACGCTGCGGCCGGAGGAGTTGGAGTTGCACCTGCTCCAGCGGACTCAACTATAATATCATCTGAGAACCAGCACAAGCCGAAACTTTCTGTCGGGTTGACCGGTCTGCCCCACGTACAGCTTGACAAAGAGACGTTTCTGGAATCGTTGAAACGGTTCGACTCGATCCGTCTGGAGTGGATGAGCGATGAGGCGCTGAAGGTGGACCACAAGTGCGACAAGGTGCGCCGGGCCGCTTCGCCGGCGCGGTCCGCGCTGTCCAACGTGGTCGCGGCGCCGACAGGTGTTGTAACTAGTAGTAGTGCCCCAAGCACGGGGAGCTTGACGTTTGATAAAAATCCGCGAAACTACACGGTGGAAATAACAGGCGCCCCTGCAGCGACCGGGAAGAAAGGTCCACCTCCGGGCGCGCGTGGTATTAACGATAATGCTGTGGAACAACAACAGCAATTTGGTGGTCCTGCCCTAGTGAACATGCGCCTTATCGGCAGCAACCACCTGACTCCGCCGCCGGGAAAAATTGCAGGAGGACGACACCAGAGCAGCAAGACCAGCAGTGTCGTCGTGCCACTCAGCAGCCCACGGCTGATGAACGTCAACATCGGAGGTGGAACTACTACTACACGACCCAGTACTACGAATGCAACAACATCTCCGACAAGTAGAACCTCCTCGGAACACCAGCTGCGATTGTCGTCGCAGGGACCTGCTGCGCAGAAGGGACTACAAGAGCCGTTATACCAGCTGGAGGTTTACGTGTCTGAAATGGCCGCCAAGCTGCTCTCGATTTGGCACAGCAAGGGGCGAAGTGGGAATAACGGCTATGCCTTGCTCCAACAAGTTCCGAGCGCACTGCTGGCGCGCTTTCGCTTCACGAAGACTGTGTCCGTTGCGGCATTCCGGGACCTGGTAGGAAAGCAAATTCTGCGGTTGCACATCGCCCACATCTTGGCCCAGGCCCGCCACGACGGGGACCAAGCGAACGAGCCGATCACAAGCCCGCGGGCCCTCTTGCACCACAAAATGACCGCCGGCGACAACGACCCGCGCACGAAGGCGTCCGAGGAAGCGCTGCGGGCGATGCGTCTTTTGGAGCAACGGTGGGAGGAACTGTTTGCCATCCCCCATTCTTTCTCCGCGGTCTTGAGCGCGCGCTCCTTCTTTGGCGAAAACTTGAGCACGGGTAAGGACAATCTGGTACTTCGCTCCCTCAAACCCATCCAGAGCCCAACCGACTTCTTGCAGGAAATAAGCAGGGAGAACTCCAACTCCAAGCAAGCGGAGAGCAAAAGCGTAAGCGGAGAACCCAGAACATTAGATCGAGGCGGAGATCCGGGTGGTGCGCCGTTGTCGTTGACCTCAAGCTGTAGCCCCGGATTCTTTCGTCCGAACGATATCTTTGAACTGGAAATCGACTCCCCGGGGGAGGAAACGGGCCTGTTGAAGGGACGGGTGTTGCGGATCGATGATACTCCGTCCAAAGCAGCTGCAGCGGGTGTTGACATCAATACGCGGGAAGTGGATCAAGGGGCAGTTGCTAGTAGCAATTCATTGAACTACTCGTCCCCGCTGCTCTCGTCGTTTTTATCACAGGCTCAGGCTGCTGGAACAGCGGGCACTAAAAGTGTTCTTGCTGGTTCTGGTACTACTAGCATTACAGCAGCAGGAGATACCGTCGGAAATAACGGAATCAATGCACTCACTGCTGGAACAACAGAGGCAAAAGCTACAACATCTACTTCCCAGCAAGTAGCGTTTATGCCGCCGCAGCGACCGCCGGAGGTCCACCTGTGCGCGCAGCAGAACTCGGATCGCAAAGTGCAACTGCAATCGTTGCAGAGCGCATTACTGCACTTCCTCGCGAACGAAATCAGTGGGGATTTCGAGGAGAAATTAGCGGCTCGGGTGGGCCTCATGTCTGAACTGCCCCGAGACATAGCGGGGTCGGGCAGTTTTCCCGCGGAAAAACGACCGTTGCAGGAGGGACACCTGCCTCAGTCGGGCGGGGACTTCGCCACAACATCCGGTAGAAGTAGCAATGATGTTGTACAACCGCGAACGCCGTCCAAGTTTGCGGACGCCGTGCGCCGCAACAAGAACAAGATCTTGAAAGCGAAGAGCAGCACAGCTTTACGCATTCAAGCGGAAATTGCGAGCATGGCGGCGCGGCAAGAACTCGCTGGAGGAACAAACGGTGGCGGGGACGAAGAGACGGTAGCAGCGGTGCCGAAAGCTGCCGCGGCGAGCAAGACTGCGGCAGGCTTGATAAAAGCTAATCAAGCGCGCGGCGCCTCCGGTGTAAGTCCTGTAACAACCTCTATCCCGGGGCGGGAAATAGGTGCAGCTTCATCTTCAGGACCTGCATCAAGGAGCGTGGCAGGGGGAAGGTCCACACTCCCGAGTACAGTAGTATCGCACGTGCAGTCGCTTACCGCATTGAAAACGACACATCTACAAGCGCATGCGAAAAAGCTCAAGGCTCGGTTGAACAGTAAGAAAATGGCGGACAAATAAACCGCGTGAAGAAGTGAGGCGACGTGGTCGTGCTCGTCATTTCAGCGCGCAAAAAAATGAGACTCGTGGGTACCATGCGCAATGATTTTACTGTTGAATGCCTTTCAGCTTGGTAGCAGATGCTGCACTGTAATTTTCTACTTTTGATTTCCCACTGCAAAGAAGTCCATAGGCTGGAGAGTGCTCTGGAAGCAACATGCCATCCGAGGATTTTTCACTTGGCGTCGTGTTGTGATACGAAGCGCCGAATCCACGGAAAGACCCTGTTTGTGGTTGTGGGCTGTTCGATGACCAGTAAAGCGAGGCTGTGGCGCTGCTACTGCATTGAATTTACTTCAGTCGTCAGGTGACTGGCTGACCGTCTGCGACTGCAGCAGGATCCTCCATTTTTCTCGCCTCGATTATGGCGTATTACGAGCGTTTCACCTTTGCGAGCATTTTACCGTACGCAAAAGGCTGACAGTCGAGAAGTAGATCCAACTGCGTGAAGAAGATCAACCTGCCTTGTCCACTTTTTTCCCTGTCAACGTCAAGTCAGTGATCGATGGAACGAACTTGGTCTTCATTGTGTAGTCGTGATATTGCAGTGCTTTGGTGATGATGATGTCAATCATCCTGCTCTTTCGTAGGATCAGGCTCAGCTGCCTTTTGGCCTCGTACATTTCGGCTGATGTGGAGCAAAAGGTGACTCCAATTTAACCACAGTTAGACTCTTGCTGGATTGTTGTGCATTCTTCTCTCCGGCGGCCCAGAGTTTGGAGCCGGCAGACGACCCACCTGGCGCGCGGTATGCGGCGAAAAAAGGCGGCCCAAAAATCCCCCCGGTGGCCCAGAGTTTGGAGCCGGCAGGCGACCCACTTGGTGCGCGTTATGCGGCGAAAAAAGACGGCCCAAAAAGCCCCCCGGCGGCCCAGAGTTTGAAGCCGCGCGCGGTATGTGGCGAAAAAAGGCGGCCCAAGAGGCTCCCCGGCGGCCCAGAGTTTGGGGCCGGCAGATGGTCCACTTGGCACACGGTATGCGGCGAAAAAGGGCGGCGCAACAAGCCGCCCGGCGGCCCAGAGTTTGGGGCCGGCAGATGACCCACTTGGCGCACGGTATGCGGCGGAAAAAGGCGGCCCAAAAAGCCCCCCGGCGGCCCAGAGTTTCGGGCCGGCAGATGACCCTCTTGGCGCACGGCATGCGGCGAAAAAAGGCGGCCCAAAAAGCCCCCCGGCGGCCCAGAGTTTGGGGCCGACAGATGACCCACTTGGCGCACGGTATGCGGCGAAAAAAGGTGGCCCAAAAAGCTCCCCGGCGGCCCAGAGTTTGGAGCCGACAGAGGACCCACTTGGCGCACGGTATGCGGCGAAAAAAGGTGGCCCAAAAAGCCCCCCGGCGGCCCAGAGTTTGG